GTAGAACCAGGAGCCTGAGAACGCTCGCTCCAGGTTGTGCCCAAACAGGGACCTAGCTACAGGGGAACTTAAAGCCTGAGATGAGAAGACACTCTGGGGAGCATGCACGTAATAGAGAAATGAAAAACATGCAAGAAATACAAAAATAAGCAAAGTGAGAGGGAGAATGAATTAAATGCAGTCAGGTGTAAAAATCATGGGAAACTATATAGACTTTAAAAAAGCTATGTTAAAGAAGTTAGGTAAAAGGAAAAAATACAGAAGTAGAAATATGGTAGAAGAATTGTTATAAAGTAGAATACAGTAGAATTATAAGGTAGAATACGGTAGAAGAAGAATTATAAGGTAGAATACAGTAGAAGAAGAAATATAGGATAATAAAGAGATGTTATAATAAAGTAAGGAAATAGAAGTAAGAAGTAAAAGATTTTCCTCCTTGGTAGCCGAGTCAGGATGTGGGTCTCACCCCTTACAACCAGTCCTACAGGAGTGTGAGAGGCAGTAACAAGATGCTGTGGGCGGTGGAGACACTGAACCGTCAACCCCATCTTAAAAGTAAAGTTCAGTCTGGAGATGATTCTGATTCAGCGTCAGATGAGGAGGGTCAGGAGGACCTTCCAGCCCATCAAGTACTGGGAACCATGCATTTGGGGTTACCTCCATGGGCCAAGAGACTTCCTACTCTTGCTAAGAGTCCCCTACAGGCTGCTTTGCCTGGTCATAATCAAAGACACTTTACCTTGTGCTTGAGAGACTGGATCCTAACAGCTCTGGCATACAACAGAGGTTTCAGGACAACTCCTTGGATTGGAGAATGGGTTTCATTGGGCATTTAAGAAATAAAAAAGGAGAAGATGTGGGGAGTGGATTATGAGAATCCTGTGAGAACTTGACATGAGTATAGCTGTGCCCAATAATCAGCAGGCTGAGTTTGGCATGGCCCCAGCCGCAGAAGAGTGCAAAATGCAGCACAGCTGCTTTTCCTAAGTTGTTTAGATTCAGAGAAGTAGGAACACAGGTTTCTCTTGTTACAGTGTCACCCCCCTCCCCGAGAACTGTTGCTCTACCTCCTTGTTTACATACAAGTACATAAAAGACTGGCTGAAAGAGGATGCAAGGGTTTTGATGGGGGATTGATGGAGGGTTTTTTGTTTTGTTTTGTTTTGTTTTTCTTATTATTTTATTGTTCATATGTGCACACAAGGCTTGGGTCATTTCTCCCCCCTGCCCCCACCTCCTCCCTTACCCCTCCCTCTGCCCCCTCCCTCTCCCCCCCACCCCCTCAATACCCAGCAGAAACTATTTTGCCCTTATTTCTAATTTTGTTATAGAGAGAGTATAAGCAATAATAGGAAGGAACAAGGGTTTTTGCTGGTTGAGATAAGGATAGCTATACAGGGCATTGACTCACATTGATTTCCTGTGCGTGGGTGTTACCTTCTAGGTTAATTCTTTTTGATCTCACCTTTTCTCTAGTTCCTGGTCCCCTTTTCCTATTGGCCTCAGTTGCTTTTAAGGTATCTGCTTTAGTTTCTATGCGTTAAGGGCAACAAATGCTAGCTAATTTTTTAGGTGTCTTACCTATCCTCACCCCTCCCTTGTGTGCTCTCGCTTTTATCATGTGCTCAAAGTCCAATCCCCTTGTTGTGTTTGCCCTTGGTCTAATGTCCACATATGAGGGGGAACATATGATTTTTGGTCTTTTGGGCCAGGCCTAACCTCACTCAGAATGATGTTCTCCAATTCCATCCATTTACCAGCGAATGATAACATTTCATTCTTCTTCATGGCTGCGTAAAGTTCCATTGTGTATAGATACCACATTTTCTTGATCCATTCGTCAGGGTGGGACATCTTGGCTGTTTCCATAACTTGGCTATTGTGAATACTGCTGCAATAAACATGGGTGTGCAGGTGCCTCTGGAGTAACCTGTGTCACATTCTGTTGGGTATATCCCCAAGAGTGGTATTGCTGGATCAAATGGTAGGTCAATGTTCAGCTTTTTAAGTAGCCTTGATGGAGGGTTTTTTGATGGAAGGGTTTTTTTGGATGGGGATTTTTGATTGGCTGCTGCTGACATTACTGCTGGCTATGTTTCTCCACCAGAGCAGCTTTCTACACCAAGAACTTTATACATAGGCTTTAGAAAGCTAAACTAAAGAAAAGCTAAAGAGACCCTGGGACAGTGCAAGTCTAAGGATCAAGACTTTAAGAGTTATGTTAATGCAGTGCTTAGAAGTGGCTGCTGCTGTTTGTCTGAAAGTCTGAGGGCTGAGACTTTAAGAAAGCTAAAAAAAAAAAATGGGACATAGCAAGTCTAAGGAAAGAAACTTTAAAGAATAGAAAAGAAGCAAGGTCTTAAAGAACTATAAAGGAGTAAGGCCTAAAGAATAGAAAAGAAGAAATGAGGCTGTTGTGCATCTCTATCTGGGTGCCCAGCACACCTGATCCCAACTTTCTGCATGTCTGTCTTCTATCGTTTGTCCTTTCTGCATCTCCAGTCACCCCCCAGTTAGGTCAGTAGAACCAGGAGCTTGAGAAAGCTCGCTCCATCCCTGGTTGTCTTTTTTTTTTTTTTTTTTTTTTTTTGGTCAGGATATGCAGGCTTTTTTAGTAGCCTTTACAGTACATATTACCTTAATTCACCATTCCTAAAAGCAGAATGTCTCCATACTTGATTAAATGTATTAATTTTTTTTGTTGGTGGTGGTGGTCCTGGGGATTAAACTCAGAGCTTTGCTGTACCACTTGAGCCACTCTACCAGCCCTCTTTCCTTTTCTTTCTTTCTTTTCTTTTTTTTTCGCTTTTCTTATTTTTGAGGTAGGGTCTCACCTTATGCCCTGGCTAGCCTGGACTGCAGTCCTCCTATTTGTGCATCCCCATGTAGGCATGTGCCACTGTGCCAGCTTGTATTAAACTCTTTATTATGGAGAATTTTGAACATATGCAAAATCAGACATACTAATGTAGTGACCCCCATGTACATATTACTCAGTCACAGTAACCATTAAGTCTTGGCTGATCCCGCTTTGTTTCCCATGCACTTTCCCTCATCCTATATTATCTTGAGAGACATTCCAGATGCCACTTCAGTTTATCTATAAACATATGTAGCCTTAAAAGATTAGGAATGTTTTCTCCTTTTTTGATATTTTTATTAGGCTAGATTTATTATTTATTTTAATTTTGTTTATTCATTTATTCATATGTGTGTACATTGTTTGGGCCATCTCTTCCCCTTGCCTCCCACCCTGCTTCCCCCACCCCCTTCGCTTCCAGGCAGAACCTGTTTTGCCTTCTCCAATTTTGTTAAAGAGAAAACATAAGCGTTAATAAGAAAGACATAGATAAGGATAGCTATACAGAGAGATTTCTAGCATTGCTTCCATGCACATGTGTATTACAACCTAAATTGAGTCATCTCTACCTGACCTCTTCACTATTTCCTGGTCACTTTCCTGTAGTGGTCTCTGTCAATTTAAGATTACTTTATTAGCTCCTCTACAGTGGGCACATCAAACACTTTCAAGTTTTAGGTTTCCTTCCCTTTTCCTATTCGTCCTGTACACATTCTCTCCTTAGCATGTGACCATGTCCAATAGTATTACTGCATTTGTTTTAGGTCTATAATCTGCATATGAGTGAGAACATATGATTTTTGGCCTTCTGAGCCCAGCTAACTTTGCTTAAGATGATATTCTACAGTTCCATCCATTTACTTGCAAATGAAAAAATTTCATTCTTTGTGGCTGAGTAAAATTTCATTGGTATAAATACCAGATTTTCTTAATCCATTCGTCAGTAGTGGAGCATCTTGGCTGTTTCCATACCTTGGCTATTGTGAATAGCACTCCAATAAACATGGGTGTGCAGGTGCCTTTGGAATAACCTGAGAAGTATTCCTTTGGGTGTATCCCTAGGAGTAGTATTCCTGGATATATGGCAGATGTATGTTTAGTTTTTTAAGAAGCCTCTATGTTGTTTTCCAAAGTGGTTGTACTAGCTTACATTCTCACCAGTAGTGTGTGAGGGTTCCTTTCTCCCCTGCATCTTCGCCAACATTTGTTGTTGGTGATGTTTTGATGATAGCTATTCAAACGGGCGAGGTGGCATCTTAGTGTGGTTTTGATTTGCATTTCCTTTATGGCCAGGGATGGTGACAAATTATTGTCACATCTAACTAATAACAATAATTCCTTAATATAAACCCCATCATTGTTCAAACTACTTTAATTTTTTAGTATAATCCTATTTAACAAAAGGCCTATGAAATTATTTTGCTCTGAATCTCTAAACTGTACAGAGATTTTCTAGCACAGTTGTAGAAGCCCTTTGTGTGTTGGTCAGAACCAGCCATAAAGATTTTCTTCTGCCCTTACATTCCTCTTCACTTGTCTAAAGCCTTCCCCTTCTATGATGGAGTGGACAGCTCCATTCCATCAAGTCTCACTTCTGTGGAGCCTGCTCTCACCACTGCTCTGATCTTCTTGGTGTTTATTTTATTCTGCTTCTGTGGCACTTGACTATTCTGTCTTATTTAGAAAGTATAACTCCTTTTGATTGTATCCCGTGGGAGGACAGGAATGTGTGTACAGTATGTTTTATACGCCAAGGTGAGCCTGCCACCTTGTGGGCAAAATAGTACTCACCTATCTCAGGAATTTGGTGAGGGTCAAATGAGGTAATATATAAGGTCTTGTATTGTAATCTGTGGGGCACAATTGTGAGGAATTGTTGACACAGCCACTACATGAACTCTAGGCCATAATCTCTATGAAGACAAAAAACAGTATTCCTAGAGTCCATTACAGTACCTGACAGTAGGTTTTCAATAAACATTTTATTTAATTTATTATGTGATTGGGCTTCACTGTGGCTCCTCATTCTATTTTATCAGTGATATGAAATAGGAATGATCAAGTTAAAGACCTACAGGGAAAGGTTAAACTTTACCAAAAGTTTATTTGATTTCTTTTCTTACCCTCACACATCTGACAGGTCTATCTCACCATGTTGTTACCAGCTATAAGCAAGTAATCCAGCTCCTGGAGGAGGGGATAGCAAACAGGTATCAGGTTTGCTTATTGCTATCTTCTCTCAGCCACCTTCTCCTGTCCTGTGTTCTGTTACCCTTTGAGATGTGTGACAGCACTTAGAGTTGTCTCCATCTTCAGTTTCCAACAATCCACACCCAGGAGGACCTTCTCAGGCAGTCACATATCTCTGAGTCAGGGGTGCTGTCTGAGACTTAGTGCTCCGATCATTGAAACCTAAATGGAGTTTGTTCTGTATTTAACACTTGGCAGTAAGTTTAAAGAGTTGCTCTTTAGTTTGGTTTAAAAGACGCAGCTTTTGCTGTTTTGATCAGAGGATAGATTCTTGCCTGTTGGCCTTTCCTCAGGCTTGATAAAGATGAATATAGCACAAAATGTTTCAGAAACGCAATTTTCTTCTCGTTTTGAATACTTGTGAAATTACCCCCCCTCAATCCACTATGAATACCTAAGTGATCCAAACTCTTCCAAGAGCATTGTACATTGTGATAACATTCCATATTTTTAGTTATTATAAAGCATCTAGAATATTGTTAATAAATTCCAAGAGTAAAAAGTTTTTTATTTTTATGGAAGAATTATTTAGTCTTCTGTTTATCCTTTTAATATCAGGCCCTTTATATTAACTGAAAATAAAGGGAAAAATTTAAATTTAACATTCCATTTTGGGGGTTCTACGTAACTCTCCCAGAGGTGCTTGCATCTGGTCTTCACAGTCCCTGTGCTCCTTAGGGGCTCACTCTTTTTTTTATCCTTGAATTTTGAGACCAGTCTCTTGATTTTGACTATTTTCTTCTGTTCTCTAGCTCTCAAGAGGACATAGGTCAATAAAATAGCCTGAGAGTTTTAGACAGAAGTCGGACTCAGATTTAGATAAAGAGAAGACTTCTGACTTTAGGGGTTTGACTTTAGGGATGGATTTTTAAGGGAGGCTGTGGATTCTTTCTGACTTAGGCACAACATCGGTGCAATTCAAGATCTCATTTCAAAAGTCTTTCAGTATGTTACAAGATTAATATTCTGGGGAGTGGGTATGGTGTTATATACCTATAATCTCAGCTACTTGAAAGCCAGAGATTGGAAGGATCAAGGTTCAAGGCCAGCCAGAACAAAAAGTTAGATACCATCTCAGCAAATAAGCCAGGCTTTTAATCCCAGCTATGGAAAATATAGGTAGGAGGATACCAGGCCAGCCCTAGGCAAAAAGGTGAGACCCTATTAAAAAGAAAAAATCTAAAGGAAAAAAAAGTAGAGGTTTGGCTCAGGTGACAGAGTGCTTGCCTAGTAAGAGCAAGTCCTGAGTTCAAACTCCAGCACTGCCGGAAAAAAAAATACTCTGTTTTATGGCTGGTGGTGTGGCTCAAGGGTGGAGTCCCTGCCTAGCAAGCATGAAGCCCCCAAACCCCAGTACTACCCTCCCCCAAGTATTCTGTTTTACCTTTTCTTAGAGGCTTTTTTTCCCAGCAGCCGCTCTACTTTCTGCCTTTGCTTGTCTTTTTTTTTTTTTTTTTTTTTTTGAGACACGGTCTTGCTATGAAGCCCAGGCTGGTTATAGCCTCTACTCCCAAGTGCTGCGATTTATAGGTGTTAGCCACTGTGCCTGGTACAATTCATTTGTCTCATTTAAATAGGTCTGGTTAAAGATATTTTTCCAAGGTGGTAAACACTCTAGTATTTACTGAGTTCACCCTTTCACTGAGTTCTGCTTTATCACTTAAAAATGTTTTAATGTCAGTTAGTTTGAAACTACTCTCCCTTTTATTCTTTGATCCCAGCACCTAGAGTGCTGCTTGTGCTCTCTCTGGACCAATTTTCTAACTGTACTAGATTTACTATGGATAATTTGTGGTTCTCACCTGCAACTTTTAGTCCTAGTCTTTCTTGTGCTTTCCATGGATTCTTCAGGATCCCCCATGCATAAACTATCCTTGTTCTGTCTCCCCTCATACACAGAATGACAGCAGCCACCCACGTCCATGAGGCCAGCAGCAGATCCCACGCCATCTTTACTATCCACTACACGAAGGTTTGGTGCTGTTTACATTCAGTGAGATTTCTTCCTCTCCTTATTCCTCTTGACCACTTCATTGTCTTCCTTCCTCTCTAGTTTCCTTTCTTCCTATCCTTCCACTTATGAGTTCTCTGACACAACCTAATAATATAAAGAACAGCTACATGCAATTTACTCATCATCCCTGAAGAAATGATGAAGGGGGGCTGGATGTGGTAGCTCATGCCCAGCTATGTGGGAGGCAGAGATTGGGAGGATTGTGGTTTGAGGCGAGCCCAGCCCCTCTTCCCCTAAGGTATTTCATAAAGACTCATCAAAACATCTTCTGCTTTAGCTTTGGGCACTTCAGAACATTTTCAATCTATTTGATCAGTTTGAGTCTATTTAAAATGAAAATCAGTGTTGAAATGGAAAATACGCATTAAAATGGTAGACAGTTCACTTTCATCATAATGGAGTGAGGAGACTGATAAATTCAGTCCTTATAAATTAAAATTTGGGGCTGGGATGTAGCTCGGTGGTACAGCACTTGCCTAGGATGCGCAAGGCCCTGGGTTCAATCCCAGCACCAAAAAAGAAAAGACAAAAAAAAAAAGTAAAATTTTATTATGTGTGCTGCCAAAGTGAGCACAAAAGCAGAATTTTAAAACTGGGCAAAACCATTCTGAAAATAGACTAAATACATATAATAAACTGAAAACACTTATTCAAAAAAATACTAAACCTCAGGTAAAATTAGCACAAATATGTGGTGTTCTGGTCTTGAGCTGCTCCTGTCCTCACCATTTCTCCAGCTCTGCCGGTGGGAAAGTTCATTCCTGGAAGGGAAGGCTATGAAAACACTTTGCTGTTGCTCCTGCCAGAGGGGATCGCTCAACTTTGAGCATTGTCAGATAGTGTTGATACAGAGGAGCAGGGAATAAGGTGTGTCAGTAATTCAGGAGCCTTAGATGTTCGGCTTTTAAAGGCATGATATGAACTGGCAGCCTGTCTGGGGATTAAAATGCTGCTGCTGCTACAACTGTACTGGGTTTCAGAAGATCCTTACCTGTCCTGGGTATTACAAGCTATGCACATACACAACAGAGATTGGGAAGATCATATTTTGAGGCCAGCCTGTGCAAATAGTTCAAGAGATCCCCTCTCCAAAATAATCAGAGCGGAACAAAACCAAAAAAAATTTTTTATGAAACAAAGCAAAACCCCACACTGAATTAGGGGAAAGAGGAAGAAGAGTAGTTTTACTTTTGGGGAATAAATGTCCCTGAGTAGAATATAGAGAGCTCCTGCCCTAGCAAATTAACATGCTATGACAGCCAGAGAGGCAGAACACATCAGCGACCACCCTATCCACTGTGGCTCTCTGCAGATGAGAGTCAGAGCCCGAGGCGAGAGCATTTGACTGATAAATTGTACTAAAATTCCTGGGACCCTTGAAAATTTTACTCAGTTGGTTTCATGGTGTTTTCCCTGCTTCCTCTGTTAGCATGGCTGGTGATTTTAATGAAGGAGTGGTCCAGGGCTTATTGATTGTATTTGTCAGATACCGAAATCTCATCTAGTTCACAGCACATTAGAATATAGATTTCTCACGTGAGTTGGATGAAAATCCAGAGTATCACCTTGGTTAGGAGGTTATCTACGGGGACAAGGCAAATCATTCCAAGTGAGACTTGAAATTTGTTTTCTCCCTTAGGCGATCCTAGAGAACAACCTCCCCTCTGAGACTGCTAGCAAGATTAACCTTGTGGACCTAGCAGGCAGGTAATTAGGATTTCAAAGCCAAGGGAAATTTTTCCCTTGTTCTTGCTCATTTTATCCAGAATAAGCTTGGTCTGATCTTTTTTTTTTTTTTAAATGTATCAATCATCCCAAGAAAATCATAAAAGAAACAAATTCTTGAATGTTAGGTTGAAAATTATAGTGTGTCGGGGCTACAAAGTTCCTCTACATCAGGAGTTCTCAGTCTTAGCTGTCCATTAAAATCTCCTGGGCACCTTTTAGAACCCTCGGGGCTTGTACCTCAGATCAAATCAGGTTTTTAGTGTGGGTGAGGGGAATGTAGGCATCAGTATTTTTAAAAGCTTCCAGCTGATTGATTTCAGTGGAAAGCCAACATTGGAAACCACTGCACTAACTGGTGTCAGCTGAGTTAGTGCATCTTTTTCCTTTGACTTAATACTGATTTTATGCTGCTCTGTGCACTACTCTAGAAAAGTTTTAAAGATATTGTGGGGCTTGAGGGAAGTTTCTGCATTTTGATTATTAAAAGGAAGTGTGGGCCAGGCATGGTGGTACACATCTGTACTCCCAGCACTCAAGAGACTGAGGCAGGAAGATCACAAGTTCAAGGTCAGCCTGGGCAAATGTAGTCTTCAAAAAAACCGACAAAGGGCTGGGTGTGGTGATGCATGCCTGTAATCCCAGCTACTTGAAAGGTGGTTTAAGGCCAACACAGACAAAAACATAGTGAGAGCCTATCTCTAAAAACAAGCTGGTTGTGGTGGCACATGCCTATGGTACTAACTCCTATGGAGGCAGAGGTAGAATTGTGGACTGAAGCCTGGCCTGAGCAAAAGCAGGAGATCCTATCAGAAAAACAAACTAAAAGGCAAAAGGTCTGGGGGTATATCTCAAGTTGTAGATCAAGGATCTGAGTTCAATTCCCAATAACCCCCCCCCCTTTAAAAAAAAAACCAAAACAACAAAAAAAAGAAAGAAGAAAAAAAAATGGAAACCATGTATATATCCAAAGGAAAATCTTGAGGATTTTCAGGGGAAAGTGTAAGATGATATAAGGCAGATTTTCTTAATTTGGAACTACTAAAAATTAAGATAGCCAGAATTCCCTGGGAGTGTAGCTCAGCATTAGCGCACTTGCCTAGCATTTGCTAGGCCCTGGGTTCAATCCCCAGTACCACTACCACAATAAAACTAAGTGCTATACGAAAGAAACTATATCAACCAATCAGAATTGTATGTTTTCAATATTTACCATTTACTTAAAAGGGAAGTTTGAGACAGTTAACTGTTAACACAAATATCATAAAACCATTAAAACATAAATTTAAAATGATAAAATGTGTTAATAACATTACTGTAAATAATCATTACATTTAATGTTCTGGCAGCCAAAATAAAAACAAATGTAATGAATTACTTCAGTTATACTGTGTAAGAAGAAGGCCAGTAGCCTTTTTGGGAACTGAATTCTAAAAGGAATTTATTATGTGGGTTTTTTAGAGCATTACGTACAACAGAATGGATAGTATCTTTCAACGGCATTGTAAGAGAGTATCTTACTTGCTTCTGTTTTTGTTTTCATTGATTGTGTTTTAGTGAAAGAGCAGATCCCAGTTACTGTAAGGACCGGATTGCTGAAGGAGCCAATATCAACAAGTCCCTTGTCACTCTGGGAATTGTCATCTCTACCTTAGGTATTCCTCCAATGGACTGGATGATTGCAGGGGCTGAGGGAGACTTTGGAAAATAACTCACAGGATTTTCTTTTTCTGAAAATAGCATAAAAGCTTACAAGGTTCTTTTTAATAAGGTCACCTCTGGTTTGGAGCATGAACAATTGATATTTATCTGTGGTTTTAGAGCACAATTCGACCATCATTCCAGCACTATCATTTCAAAAAGAGGGACACTAAACAGTTATGTCACTCAAACAATCCATCTCATGCATTCAAAGTCTGATTCAGGGCTCAAACTTAAAGCATCCTCTCATGCACAGGAAGGGATTAGAAGTGTGATACTTAAGTATGTCTTCTCCAACCATTGTTTTGTTTTAATGCACTTCATAATTTCTTCCGCTGCTTTTATTTGTCTATGAAGCCCAGAACTCCCAAAAGTTCAGCAGCTGCCAGAGCCTCAATAATGCAGCCAGCAGTGGTGGTGATAGCAGGATTCCTAGCTCTCCTGGGACCAGCAGTGGAGGGGCACTGCCCCGGAGGCAGTCTTACATCCCATACCGGGACTCTGTGTTGACCTGGCTGCTGAAGGACAGCCTTGGGGGGAACTCCAAAACCATCATGGTTGCCAGTAAGTGGGATGCTGATCTGCTTCCAGGTTCAGACTAGTACCCTACCTCAGGAAAAGCCCTGACACACTCATGTTCCCGTTTCCTCAAGTGCTGCTTAGGCAGCATGAGCAATACAGTAAGGCAAGTGGTCAAGGGCTGGGTTGGAAGGGCATGGCATGTTGTTTTAAGAACTTTTTCCTCCTTCCTCAGCTGTGTCTCCTGCACATACTTGCTACAATGAGACTATGAGCACGCTGAGATATGCATCCAATGCCAAAAACATTGTCAATAAGCCACAAGTAAATGAGGTAAGACCTTCATTGGAAGTTACGGTCTCAATTGATTTTTTTCTCTTACTCCATCTTGCTAGACTTGTTTTCAAATGGAGTGAAATTCTTTCTTCTACTATAATGTCATATCCTTTACTGATCGCTCTAATTGACTTCAGTCCGTAATTTGACTTCATTCTTTCCTTCCTTCCCTTCCCTAGGGTTTGAACTCAAGACCAAGCATGCTGCCACTTGAGCCATATCCCCAGTCCTTTTTGCTTTAGTTTGTTTTTCAGAAAGAATCTCAAGTTTTTGCCTGGGGCTGACTTTGGACTATGATCCTTCTACCTCCGCCTCCTGCATAGCTGGGATTACAGGCATGAATCATCACATCTGGCTTGAGTTATTTCTCTGAAGCCATTCCTCTAAGGATCCCTGGTGTAGCTAAGCAAAGTCATTTCAGACTTCTGTGTTTACTGCTTTTATTTAAAGTTGATACTGATTTATGCCTATTTTTTTCTATATAAAATCACAGTGATAGGCTGACAGAGTGGCTCAAGTGGTAGAGTGCCTGCTTAGCAAGTGTGAGGCCCTGAGTTCAAACCTAGTACCACAAAAAAATAATAAAATAAATAAAATAAAATATCAGTTACTTCTCTGTTTTGGATTAGAAAGGGAGTGTAAGGAATTAATTGGTTTTGAAAACTAATAATGACAATATATCAAATGTTTATCTCTTTTGAAATTTCAGTAAAAAGTTCCAGAGCAGGGATCACAACTTGCAAGCAGGCATATATGACCCACCTGGAGACTGTTTTAAAAGGCCATGTCCTACTGGGCGCTGGTGGCTCACGCCTGTAATCCTCGCTACTCAGGATGTAGAGATCAGGAGGATTGTGTGTTTGAAGCCAGCCCAGACAAATAGTTTGAGGGACCCTATCTCGAAAAACCCTTCACAAAAAATGGGCTGATGGAGTGGCTCAAGATGAAAAAAAAAAAAAAAAAGGCAATGTCCTGCAGGTTTGGTGGCGTGATAATACACAACTATAATCCCAGTTACTTGGGAAGTAGAGACAGGATGATCAAGACTAATCCAGGCAAAAGTTGGTGAGATCCTGTCTCAAACAAAACAAAACAAAAAAGGGTAGAGGTATGGCTCAGGTGGTAGAGCATTCACATGTCCTCTGGGTTCAATCCCCAGTACCACACAAAAAAGGCAATGTAGCAAGGTATGTGTCCAGTTCAGTCACAATTCAGGAAGATTAACACCTACTTTCTATATATGCCCTGTTGTTTATATACCTTCCTGACTTACTGCTCTAGGGCAATGATTCTCAAATTTAATTGTATCACCTGGAGAGTTTTCTAAAGCACAGCTATGCCCCTGTCCCCAAGTGCAGCCGTCTTATGGGACTGGAACTTGCATTTCTAACAATTTTTTTTTTTTTGGTGTCACGAGGGTTTGAACTCAGGGCCTCATGCTTGCTAAGCATGCACTTGTATTGCTTGAGCCCCTTTACCAGCCCTCGAACAAGTTTTTGGATAAAGTTGATGTGGCTGGTCCACACGTTGAGGACACCATCCTTGAGGTTGCTTCCAAGTAGTAATGGGCATCTTCAAGCCCATTGTATATAGTGCTTCATAACTGGCTGGGGTCTGATATCTGTCCTGGTGACTGAGTGCTTTATGTTTCAGGATGCGAATGTGAAGCTCATCAGAGAACTCCGGGAAGAGATTGAGAGACTGAAAGCCATGCTACTGAGCTTTGAACTGGTATACAGACAACCAGGACCCTGCCATATTTAAGTTAGGTTCTCCTCCTTGAGCTGTGTTTCTTCTGCATAGCAGCTGGAGCCAGCTGCACACCATATTTTCAGTTAATACTCATGGAGAAAAGACAGGAGGAGGACATCTGTGATTCCTCTGTGCAGTTTCAGATGGACTGGGTGTCCTCTTCCCATACCTTCCCTTGTCCAGAGGGCATTTGCCTCAATGCCCCTTCTCTGTGTGGACAGACATGGGGGATGGGATCCTTGAGGAAATTTTCTTTCTTTCTTTCTTTTTTTTTTGAAGGTTTTAGCAAAGATTTATTTTAGAATAATAGGATAAAATATAGACAAGAGGTAGGAGAGATAAAAAGAAAGAGAAACATTTCCTGTTCTCCACACAGGAAATGGGAGCAAAGACTCTGGAAATTTTCTTTCAGTGCTCCTCCTTTGTACCAATACAAGTCCAAATACCTAGGCTCCTGATTTGTTTCTGATTTTAAGGATGAAATCTTAATTTACCCTGATCTTCCTTCACAAGCATAAAGGTGAGATCTACCTGTAGTTCACACCAAGAAAACATCAAAGCACATCTTTCTTTCTGTGCAGAGGAACTTCAGTTCATTAAACGATGGAAAGGATGAAAATCTGAAGGAACTAGTTCTCCAAAATGAGTTGAAGGTGGGTGTGTTGAGTGAACCCTGTTCTGCTTTACTGTACCTTGGAAGCAGGTTTGACCTCCCTCCTTACTCCTGGGCTAGGGCTGCTGCCTGAGCAGGGTAGAGAGCATCTTCTACTTTAAAGACCACTGTTGTCTCCATTGAGCCTTGAATGGGAGATGTGTTTGCCTTAGGAGCTGGTAAATGATTTTTAGATTTGCTATTTTATTCTCTCAGGGTGATAATTACCTTTAGATAGTACAAGGGGTGGGGGAATATTTTCTAGTCAGTGAGTGAGTTAACTAACATGCATTCAGGTATGTGCTCCGTCTGACACTGAAAGAGATGCAAAGGAGTCCCTGCTTTACAGTCTAGTTGTACACACATTTAGAGAATGGCGTGTTTTGTCAAGTGTCTGATTTAAAGAAAAAGAGCTGGCATGACATGCTGGAGTCAGAGAACTGACTTTGAACTAGATCTTGAAGGATCTGAAAGAGTTGTTAGACAGGAGAAGGGTAAGGCACTTTGGGAGGAAAAACTTACATAAGCAAAGCCATAGAACTGGGAAAGTGAGAGGCTGAATTGGAAGCATTTGCTGTGGGCAAGATGTGTGCACTGCAAGCAAGACCAGGCCAGCTAGAACAGGTGTTCATAGGGAAGAGTCATGGGGGGAAGCCAGAAGCCAAGTTAGAAGGGGTGAAGTTGATGTAAGTAGGTTTCATAGCTTTTGAATCGGGCTGATGACATAGTAAAGAACTAAGGAACATAACAGGACAGTTACATATATGTAGGATGAATTGCAAGGAAAGAAGACTAGAAGTAGAAAGACCCACTAGGAAAGACTGCTGTTGTAAGGGTGAGGACAAGACATTTTGGAAAAGTAGAATAAGTTGTGATTCCCACAGACCTTAAAAGGAAAAAAATGACAGGCATTTTTGGTGGACATTGTGACCAAATCTCCCAGTTTCCCGTATTCTTTTCTTTTTGTTTGTTTTCTTTCTTTTTTTGCACTACTGGAGCTTGAACTCAGGGCCTTCACCTTGAGCCACTCCAGCAGCCCTATTTTTGTGATAGATGTTTTTGAGGTAGGGTCTCTCGAACTGTTTACCCATGCTGGCTTTGAACCGTGATCCTATTGATATCTGTTTCCTGAGTAACTAGGATCATAAGCCTGAGCCACCAGCTCTGGGCTCTTTTGTATCAACCTTATATATTATTAAAGTCTCTTGGCTGTGGCAACATTTTGTTACTATAACTAAAATTCAGGGCCATATCACATATCTAGAAATTTGTTACAGTTTTTTTTTTCTTCTGTCAGAGTGCCTGCCTAGCAGTCCTGAGTTCAAACTCCATACCACCAAAAAAATTTTTTTAACTAATACATGGCTAATTTTTTTAGTCATATGTTATAATTTTTTTTGCCTAAGAAAATATAGATGAGGTAGAAGGGCAGAAATCATTCTAAGCTCATTATAATTTTCTTATTATATAGGCCAGCTAACTTGAACTTGAATCTGCCCCTTGCTGCTTGTGACCTTAGCTGTTGTGGTAGTGAGAGATAGGGGAGGTATGCTCAGCAGTGCCTCCAGGTAACTGTGCCAGGCTGGCTGACTTGTAAGCCAGCTTTTTACACATATGCTGTAGTTTCATTGGTTTTCAAAATTCAATTCAAGCTGGAAGCTGGTGGCTCACACCTATAATCCTCGATATATCAGAGGCTAAGATTGGGAGGATCATGGGTTCAAGGCCAGCCCAGACAAAAAGCTCTCAAGATTCCCCCCATCCCCCAAATCTCAACAGAAAAATCTGGGCATTATGGCATGTGTTGGGAAAGATAAAATAGGAGGATTGTGGTCCAGGCCAGCCTGAGTGAAAAAGTGAGACCCTGTCTCCAAAATAATGAGAGAAAAAAGGGCTAGAGCCATGGCTCAAGTGGTAGAGCACCTCCCTAGCAAGCATGAAGCTCTGAATTTAAACCCCAGTACCACCATGAAAATAAACAAATAACTCAAAATTGTAGCAATTATTCTTTTTTAAATTTTTGGCAGCACTGGGGTTAGAACTCAGGGCCGCACGCTTGCCAGGAAGGCACTCTTAATGGCTTGAGACACTCTGCGAGCCCAATGATAACATTTAAATAACGTTTCTAGAGTACCTAAAATACTTGTACCTAAATTTGGCATTGTAAGTATTCCCTTTATGAGAAAATTGCTACATGAATTCAATTTTTTTCTGAGGGTTCTCAGTTCTTTCATTCTCAAGGTAAGCTTCCTGCGTAGGCATCAAAAAGGAGAAAAAAAAACCTTATGTTCAACACTGTTCACTCATGTCCCACTGCTGGTCTTGGTGTACGGTCTCTAAGTTTTGATATATTTACTTGTTTTTTTTTTTTCTTGCCATCTTTTTGGGAGTTTGAACTCAGAGTCTCCTGCTTGCTGGACAGGTGCTCTGCCACTTGAGCCATACCACCCCCCAGCCCTTTTTTGCTTTAGTTATTTTCCAGGTAGGGTCTTGCACTTTTGCCCATGGCCAAACTCAGACCAAGATCCTCCTACCTACCACCTCCTATGTAGCTGTGATCACAGGCACATGCCACTATGCCCCGCTCCATTTTTTTTATAATAAAGAATAACATTTTGTGTTAGACTTTTGTCACTCTGACACATACTTGAGAGACAGATTTAAAGGAAGTTCATTTCAGCTTGTAGTTGCTTCTTGGGTCTGTGGTGAGACAAAGCATCATGGTGGAGAGGACATAGTGGACCCGGGGTGCTTACCTCATGGAAGCTGTGAAGGTGGGGAGAGACAAGGTATTCATTTTTCTGGGGCACACTCCCAGTGACCTACTTTCTCCACCTAGGTCCCCATTTCCTAAAGTTTCTACTATCTCCCAAAATAGTTCCACCAGCTGAGGACCAAGCTTTCAATACTGGAGCCTGTGGGAGACATTTCATATTCAAATCATAACACATTTGCTTTTCTTTCTCATTAGAAGAATCATATACGCTTATTGAAAAAAAACCAAACAAACACTTAAATCAACATTTATTAGCCAGGCACTGGTGGCTCACACCTGTATCCTAGCTACTTAGGAGGCTGAGATTGGGAGGATTTTGGTTTGAGGCCAGCCCAGGCAAGGAGTTCTTAACCAATAGCTGTGCATCGTGATGGTGCATGCCTGTCATGAGAGATTGAGATTGGGAGGATTGCCATTCTAGTCCATTCTGGGCAGAAAAAGTTTGTGAGACTCCTCATTGGAAAAAAGCTGGGCACAGTGTACATGACTGTCATCCCAGTGACAGTAGGAAGTTTAAAATAGGAGAATTGCAGTCCAGGCTGGCCTGGGCAAAAAAGCAAGACTGTATCCAAAATAATCAGAGCAAAAAGGGCTGGAGGTGTAGCTTAAGTGGCAGAGCACCTGTCTTACAAGCATGAGGCCCTGATTTCAGAACCAAGTACTGCCAAAAAATAAATAAATAAATAAACAAAACCCACATTTGTTGAAGGAACTTCTGTTTATGAAAGTTAACATTTGTTTACTGAAGAAAGCCTAAAAAACCCAGAGAGCTTGCAGTTGGATGTCATTCTGCCATCTATACTAAGCATTTAGGTCACCTCTTATGCCTCTGCAGATAGACAAGCTGACTAAAGACTGGACTCAGAAATGGAGTGACTGGCGGATGGTCATGGAGTATTACAGTGTGGACATCAACAAGAGGAGGGCTGGTGTGGTCATTGACTCCAGCCTGCCACACTTACTGGTCTTGGAGGATGATGTGCTCAGCACGGGTGTGGTGCTCTATCACCTCAAGGTGAGGAAGCTCTTGTGCCTTCTTCCTGAGCTACTGACCCCAGAAGTCATAGAGGGAAAGTTTAGGGGCTACAGGATTCAGATTTCCTCTCAGGGAACTGACTTAGCTGCCAACTTGTGATCTGTTTTGCTTTGTGTAAATGGAGTGGAAGGCAGAAGTCAGAGCAATCTTTTGTTTTTCAGTTGCTACTGTTGCTCTTATGTAACTTGCTTCTGTTTTCTGTGCCTTAATTTCCTCATTTTAAAGTAACAATGATGCTTCTTAAGTTTTTTTTCTGGCTTTCTAAACCCAAGGATGCAGTCTTGGAAAGTGAAATCCTAACTTCAAAAATACCATCAGTGGCCAGGTGATGTGGTTCATGCCTGCAATCTTGGCTACTTAACAGGCAGAGATCGGAGATTGCGGTTCGAAGCCAGCCTCAGCAAATAGCTCGTGAGACCCTATCTCAAAAATACTCACCATAAAAACAAGGCTGGCAGAGAGGCTCAGGTGATAGAGTGCCTGCTTAGCAAGCATAAGGCCATGAGTTCAAATCTCAGTACTGCCAAAAAAAATCCCAAAACCCATCAGTGTAAGCTCCAGCATGGTGGCACATACATATACTCCCAGCTACTTGAGAGACTGAGGCAGTGAGGCAGGAGAATCACTGGAGTTACAGGAGTCTGAGACCAGCATAGGTAACATAGCAAGGCCCTTTTTTCAGAAAAAATAATACCCTCAATACTCCTAAACTTTACAAATACAAGTTGCTCAAAGATGGGGAAAAAGTCAGCTGGTGGAATGGCTCAAGTGGTAGAGTGCCTGCCTAGCAGGCACTAGCAAGTGTGAGGCCTTGAGTTTAAACCTCAGTACCACAAAAAGAAAAGAAAAGAAAAAAGATGGGGGAAGTAAAAAAACTAGCAAGTGTTCTTCTCACACTTCCCGCTCCGTACAAAGCAACAAAAACTGCACTCCTACTTCTGCATCACTGTGTTACCTGGAAAAGAAGAGGGGAGAGAGAAAGTAGATAAAGGAAGCTCAAAGCATGAAGGGGTTCAAACAGCTGGGGTCAGGGAGGTATGGAGGACTACATGCATCCATCAAGAAAAAAATAGAATGAAGTTAAAACTCTCCAAGTAAGGTCCAGCTTAGTTCCATAGGTCATCATTTCTTTCTTTGTATGTTTTTTATTTTTATTGTTTGGTTTTTTGAGACAAGGTCTTGCTGTGTAATTCAGGCTGGTCTTGAACTCAATTATCTTCCCTCTCCCTTTTGGGAGCTGGGACACACACACACACACACACACACACACACACACACAGACACACACACACACACACACACACACACACACACACACACCCAGATCACTGTATCTAAATGAAGCAGTTTTAGAAGTTAATGAACCCTGCCCTCATCAACTATGTCTTTCTGTTAGAGGACAGTTCCTATGGGTAGGAGAATATATTTCACATGGCTCACTGAAAATCCAGTTTCTATAGTCATAATTATGATATTTAAAAAGACTAGAGGAAAAGTCAATGAGGAATAGGTAATACTGCTGTTATCTGTGGGGAAATCAGGCTCTTCCTCTGGTGCACCTGGAAAGCTCATCTGTGCTCTGAGGTTCAGCCCTTAGGGAAGTTGTCAGAAGCTAAGTGACTCAGACAGAAAAATAAAGTAGCTTATTTTCTGGCACACTGGGCATAAATTGTCTCAGTGAAATGCCTCAGGCAGAAGTGGCTGTTCTACTTTCACCTTAACAAACAAATCTAAATGCCAAAAGACTAAATATAATCTCCCATTAGTCAGAACAACAGGGAGAGAGTGGGGGTCAGGGAAGAGAGCAGATGAATTAAAATGGCCACATTTTGAGTAGAACTGAAGTGATACATCGATTGGATGTGGAGTAAGCAGACAGAGTTAGGTGTTAGGTAGGAGAGCTTAGAGTAAGGGGCCATGTCTACTGGATTGCACCATAGACCTGGAGACAAGTGATGACTCCATCTGAATGTAGGACTGCTGACTTAGCGTACTTCCAGTGGACCTGGGTATGAGATTTTAGTCTGGTTCTAGTCCTGGCACGTTTGCATGTTTGTCCCCATTTTTTTCTTTAATTACTTTACTAACTATGGCTATGCACCTGGAACTTGTACCTGGTAACACCCTGGAAGCTGTTTTCCTTTGGGCCACCTTGGGAAGCTCCTTCAGGAGTGAGGGGACAGAAGGAAGGATGGATATAGCATGGTTACTGATAGCCTTGTAATTGCCTCTGTGCAACTACCTCTCCCTGCAAAAGAGGTAGAAGGAACAGAAAGCACGGGTGCCATCTCACTGCTTGCTCCCTGCGACATCATCACTACTTCTGGTAGTTTCTCCCTGCAAATCTAGACATTGGAATGTGCCTCCCTTTTAGGAGAAACATGCCTCAATGTCAGGACTGTCTCAGAACCCACATGAGGGTGTTGACCACTTTCCCTCAAATTGACCCTGATTCTGTTTGACAGTGTTTGTGAAGGTTGGCAACCATTGACTACTGTGACCCTCAGTTTCTGCCCATTTATGTGTATGCAGGGAGGAGAGGCAGAGGGGCACACAGGGGGGCTAGAACCTCACACATTACTTCTAAGATTTGTCCATCTCACAATCTGTTCTGGTGGAGCTGTAGGAATCTTCCTGCTCTTGCTGCTGACAGTGAAGCTGAGTAGAGAGCTCTCTAGTCACTTTAAAAATGTGTTACTGGGGAGGTGCTATGATAGGGCTGAAAAGGTCTAGTCTTGGGGTCCAGAGAGACCTAAATTCTAGTCCTGCTTTATATATGGGTTTCTTGGGCAATTTATCCCCTATCTGCTTCAGATTCCCTACCTATAAGGAGATAATACCACTGGCATGTGGGGTTGTTAAAGAATTAAATAAACCTGGGCATGGTGGCGCATACCTGTAATTCTAGTACTTGGGAGACTGAGGCAGAAGGATCATGAATTTGAGGCTGGCCTGGTGGCCTGGGTTACATAATGAGATCCTGTCTCAAAAAATAAACAAAAAAAAAAGAAGAGGAAGAACTACTCAGTAGTTATGAACTACTCAGCATAATGCCTGGGACATACTGAATGATTATTCAATAAGTGATAAAGATATATCTAAAATTTAACATCTTACCTGGAGCATGGTGGTACTTGCCTGTAATCCCAGGTACTTGGGAGCCAGGGATTGAGAGGATCACAGTTTGAGGTCAGTTTAGGCAGAAAGTTAACAAGACCCCCATCTCAACAAAGTGGGGCATGGTGATGAACGTCTGTAGTCCCAGCTATGCAGGAAGCATAGGTAGGAGGATCGCTGTCAAAGGCCAGCCCAGGCAGAAATGCAAGAGTCTATCTGAAAAATAACCGAAAAAGGGCTAGAGACATGACTCATGTAGTAGAGCTCTTGACTAGCAAATGTGAGGCCCCAAATTCATTCCCTAGTATCACTAAAAATAAGTAAAATGTAGCATATTTGTTGCCATCTCACTGCCTTCCCTAGATAGAGCTTTGTGGTTTTAAACAGATTTGCCATAATGCAAGGGCCAGAAGGCCTTGCCCTCCACTAACCCAGTGATTTGTTACACTAACTCTGGTTTCCTCCTCCTTTCTTACACTCTCTTCCAGTTCTGTTTGATTCTAGAGCTGCTTTTCTCCTGTTTATGCTTTACCCTTCTTAGAATCTGGTGTGTGTTACACTTCATCTGCAGACCAAGAAGGTAACAATCCTGTGTTCCCACAAACCCTCATAAAAAGCTTGCATCTTTGAGGTTGACTAGACCAAACTTGGACTCACACTAACCTTAGCCCCTTTGGGAGAAAGCTATACTGTATGCCCATTTCTTTGGACTGGAGAATTTCTGCCCAGTGACTGTGGCTGTTTCATAACTCCAGACTCCAGGACAGAAAGGAGTTTGCCAACAGTTAGGCTTTGAAAATAGCTGGTACTGTGTTGTTTTGGTTTTGCCTCTATCTTCTCGGGGGCTTGTTGGGTGGAAGGTCAGAGCAGCTGGGACCAACGTTGAGAAATAGTTTAGAAAAAGCTGGAATGGAATGGGAGGACAATGGTAGTACTCAAATGCAGACTCTACTTTGAGAACAGGGTTGTTGTCCTTTTTTATTCTTATTGAAATGGCTTTCTTCCTTCATACCCTTTAGGAGGGGAAGACAAAAATAGGAAGGATTGACTCAGACCAGGAACAGGACATTGGTAAGTGACAGTATGTATAGATCTGATACTTAGGACGGTAATTTGTGCATGAACGGTTTCTTCAGGTCAATCTTTGCAGTACCAAGAGTTTGTTTCTCTTCCTGCTGCTAGGCTTTGGGTCTGGGGCATGGGTGGAAGAAAATTACAAGTGGGAGAATTTCAGCTCCCATGGTTGCAGGTGGTGGTTCTTCCTCTCTTGTGATGGGAGATCTTCCAGATAATGGGTTCTGATACCATAGAAAGACTGAAGGACATGTTTCCCTGGAATGTCTCCCCACCCAAGTGTCCGCCACCTCTTCTGCAGTCCTGCAGGGTCAGTGGATTGAGAGGACCACTGCACAATCACCAGTGCCTGTGGGGTTGTTATTCTCCAGCCGACCCAAGGGGCACGTTGCACAGTCAATGGCCACGAGGTCACCACGTCCTGCAGGCTGACCCAAGGTAGGACCATCTACTGTCCTGTTACACCAAAATGAGTGATGGATCAGCAGACTTTAAAAATGAGTCACCCAGAGATCTGAAGGTTTCCTAAAATGATCCTCTTTATTTGAGGACCTGAAAATAGAGAATAACTAAAATTTGTGCCTGTAATTCTTAACTCTGTCTTTAAGATGGTCTCCGAACCTTAATTTCCTCATCCATAAAATGAAGATAATAGTAGGATCATTGGGTAGATTGGATAAGCCCTATCCTTGTGAGGTTCTTAACAGTGGGCTTGATAGTAAAGACATGTTGTCATTATTGCTGTCACTACTATTATTAATCTGTCTTTTGAAACTGAGCTTAGATTCCCAGTCTATAAAGTTTCTCGGGTACTCTACCTGGAATTCATCTTGCTTTCTGTTAGGGTACAGTAACCCCTCCTCTTGAGTTTATTACTTCAATATGTATGCTGTGAGATATATAATTAATGCATATCAACTCAGCAAAATTATCCACTTGTTGAGGGCATGACTTCATCTCACAGAACGGTGTCCTGAGAAAGTGTATACTCAAAACATGGTCTCCTGATTGAACTCTCATTTGTCTCTGCAATGCAGGAGCTGTCATCACTCTGGGAAAGGCACAGAAGTTCCGGTTCAACCACCCAGCAGAGGCTGCTCTCCTGCGGCAGCGAAGGCAGGTTAGTGTGGCTGTGACTTCTAGGCTGCTACTGGCTTTGCTCTTTCTTCTTCTTAGGGGAGAAGCTTGAGCTTCATCCTGTCTGTTGGGTTTAGGGTGATAACAGTCTTAATGTGCTTTCTTTCTTTTTTCCAGATTGGAGAGGCTGTTGGTAGCGGTGGCTCTTTGGAATGGTTGGACTTGGCCAGAAACGTCACTGCCTCCAGGCAGAGTCTCTGCCCTGTGGTTTGGAAGGAAAGGTGAGAAACAGCTGCTGGTATTGGCATGGTGCCTCCTCTTGTTTGCTTCTTAGTCCTTTACAACATGGAGCAGGGAGCTGACTAGTGTAGCAGCAAGTTCTCCATTGATCCTGGTCTGAATCCACTTGGGAGTGTTACAGGTTGAATACGAAATGTCCCCCCACAGGATCATGTGTTGAAGGCTTTGTCCCCAAATGATGGTGCTATTTTGGTGTTTTGTTTTTTTTGTTTGGCAGCGCCGGTATTTGAACTCAGGGCCTCATGCTTGCTGGACAGGTGCTCTACCACTTGAGCCATTCTACCAGCAATGGTACTATTTTGGGAGGTTCTGGAAACTTTGGGAAATGGAGCCCAACTGAAGGAAATAGGTCTCTGGGTTATGTCCTTGTGGGCTATATTTGTTCCCAGGCTCCTCTCTGTCCCTCTTTCTGCTTCCTGTCCATGTGATGTGAGATGCTTTGTTGGATCACATGCTTCCTGCCATGATGTTCAGCCTCAGCTCAGGGCAATAGCAGCAGAAACCAGCTAACCATGGCCTGAAACCTCTGAAACTGTGAACCAAAAAAAAATCCCTCCTCAAGTTGTTTCTCTCAGGTATTTGTCACAGTGACTAAAAAACTGACTACCATAGAAAATGATGTGATAATGCAGAGTTAGCTACTGAGTTTGTAGTTGACTGGTAGGTAGTCTTGGCCCTCACTCATTTCCTGCTTGGTATTTCAACTTTCTCATCACTGAAAGAGATAAACCACTTGATATTCCTATGGCTACTTTCCACATTGTCAAAATTTAACTGAAGTACTTGCAGAAGTCTTTGCTCCTTCTTAGCCCACCTCCTGCATTCCCCTTTAAATCCCGGCCTTCATGTGCATTAGCTCTCTGAATGTCAGCTAGCCTCCAGAACCATATGGCTTCATCTTGAGTTTTTAAGATAGTATGTGACTGAGAACCTTTTTTTTTTCTTTTGTCTCATAATCAAAACTTCAGAATGCATAAGAGTAGCAGGAACTACAGGAACAGTAAGAAAATATCTTGGAGTTCTACCATCATTCCTGCTTCACCTGCATTATAACTTTAAAGCATTGAGTCAGTTTTATATGTGATTGATGGTAACTACTTTTCTACTTCATAGTCATGTGTCATCCATTTCCACATAGAATCCCCTCTCCAGGCCTAGATGTCTGTGTTTAATACTGGCAATAATTCTGTTGCTATAATACAAAGTGACCTCTGCCTTCACAATTTCCTATAGGAAATTTCACTAGGGGTTCATTGCCGATGAGATCATTGGTGTTGGGAGACTGCTGAGCACCTTGGGTACAGGGTTCTCTGCACGTTCTAATGCCCTTGGTCCCTAGAGAGTCCAGATGGTCTTTCCTCTGGCCAGCAGCATTTGAAGACAGATGAAGACATCTTAGGTTGGTAGTGAGGGATGTTGGATTGAGGATCAAGGAGGAGCATGAACAACAGGCACATCATCACAGGAGAGCTTCTCATGGTTGAAGGGTGCGGCACAGAGGCTTAAGGGCAAGTGATCCTAGGGTCTGTTGTCTGAGGGTCCTGTGGAGTGAAGATGGAAGAGATGACTCAGGGTGAAGAGTATGTCAAGACCAAGGAAGACTCAGGACTGAGGCTGAAGCTTTGTTTTGTCAGAGTGGCCCTCCCTTTTTGTAGTGAAGTCATGGAAAGAGGCAAGGCTTTAGTAAGGTTTTTATTGGGAAGATGCATTGAAGATCTGGTTTTCCCACAATTCAGAGGTATACAAAGAGAACACTGCTTGGGCTGAGGTCATGACTCAAGTGGTAGAGCATCTGTCTAGTGAGCATGAGGCACTAGTTCAAACCCTAGTACTGCCAAAAAAAAAAAAAAAAAAAGAAAGAAAGAAAAGAACAATTTAAAGAGCCATGGATATAGAAGAGATACATTGGAATTGGATAAAACTGATTCACATCTTGCCTTGTGACAAAAGCTATGTGTCTTTAGGCAGGTCACTGAACCTCTGAGTTTCCTCTAAAGTAGGGATCCTGGGATAAGTTTTCAGAGCAAGTGCTTGGACACAGTACTGACACCACCATGGTCCTCATCATGGGGATGAGCTGCCAGGAAGCTGCCTCACTTTCTTTCCTGTCCTCCTGACTCAGCCAGCTGACCCTTCCTACCAGAGTGTGGTGTGGTCTCTTCCTACCTCTGTGTGTGTGCGCACGTGTGCACATGTGTACACACACGGGCATGTTTCGTAGTCAGGCACTCTGTTTGAGCCATTCCCCCAGCCCTCTAACTGCCTTTTAAAAGTCATCTAGGGTGCTCCATTCTCACATAACCTTTTAGTTAACACTAAGAATGTGCTCTTTCATTCAGAGGACAGAGAAGGATTTCAGAATCAAGGCCTCTCCCACCCTCTGCCTCCCCCATTCAATACCAGCTCTAGGAGTCTAGGCTGGTCTGGTCCTATCTAGCTACCATAGCCAGCATCTGTGTGCCATCCCCTAGTTGGTGTGGTATGGTACTCAAGCCAAGGAGCCAGAGAGAAGAACCTATAAGAGTAGACACAAATGCGTGTTTGTCATCTGGGTTCCCAGTTTGGATTTGTGGCAGTGTTTCCATGAGAGTCTCTCCTTCTGCTCTGGGTAGGCTTGGCTCCAAGACCCCTCTGGTTCTAAGCTTTCTTTTTCCTCTCTTATCTCTCAAAGAGCATTCATGAGAGCTGGAGCTGACTCTAGAGCTAGAAGAAATTGGCCGTTCTGCCTTCCTTTTCTCAAGCAGTGATCTGGACCAGAGAGGAATTTGTCCTTGAAAACCATTGCCTGTGTTCTTGGCATTTTCCCATTTGGAATTTTGGGGGTTTAACTAAGGTTAAGCTAGAACCTGGGAGGTATTGTTGCTGCTGCCACTGCTTCCCAGTAAGCAGATGCTGCTGGATTCTGCAGAAGCTTCCAGACCATGAAGTAATAGGAAGGGGCTGCCAGAGAGGAAAATGGAGGGAGCAGTAGATGCCTGGCAAGCAGGTGACCACGCAGTGGCTGAGGGATGCTGGAGCCACCCAAGATGAAGGGCTAAAGAAGTCCCTTGGCTGGCAAGTAATGAAGACTTGCCCTTGATAATATACCCAGACATGCAGCATCAGATTGGTATTTTCTTTTTCCCCTGCTTTCTGAGAACTTGACTGATGTGCTTAGCAGAGGAGCCTTTCTGACTGACCCTGTATGACATCTCAGGTGAATGAGCTGTGTTGGTAGCAATCACCCTGAGAGCTTCTCCCTGCAGGTCTTATTGCTGTGAAGGACTCTGTTGTGGCAGCTGTCTTTCCTCGAGGAAGGGCAGAGGGAGCTTTTGTAGGAAGAAGCAAATTGTAAACCCAAGGTTGGGGAGACTGCCAGAGAAGGAAACTGAGTAATTTCAAGGAATTCAGAATACAGATCTCTTCCCTGCCTCTTGTATCTGGTGTTCTGTGGGTCTTAACTGACTTTGTCTAGAATCCACTGATGGGCTTGTGTTTGTAACTCAGCTATTTCTGTGGCCAAAGTTTGGAGCAATAATACAGGCATGATACATAGGTACATACATACACACACGAACACACATATATAATACACTATCTATTATATAAATAGATATTATCTATATCTATCATACTTTATATCTGTATAATGTTTTCATTAACTGTTTTTTCTGTTTGTTTGGCATTAACTGGTTTTCCATAGCAGTTGCTATGCCTAGCCACCTGCTTCATGTGTATTATGTTCTTTTTTGTATGTTCTACTGTGTATATTTGGTCTTTTTCCTATGCTAGTCAGCACATGTCTTTCCCTGAACACACTTGCTCAAATGCCTGGGCCTTGGACCCATTACACATTGAATCATCTATCTCACAGTCACCTTCCCAGGGAAGACACTGGTTGTCAGTTCCCCTCGCCCTGTTCAATCTGTACCACCCATCCATCCTTCACTGACCTCCTAAGAGTGCATTACACAATCATAATTTCCTCTGTGACAAGGGAGTGTGAACTTTTCTCTATAAAGCTAGATAGTATTGTAGGGTTTGTGAGCCATGTGGCTTCTGCCACAACTACTCAACTTTGCCAGTGTGGCTGTGTTCCAATAAAACTTTATTTACAAGTACAGGAAGTAAACGAAATTTGACTCCCAGGTGGTAGTATGTGGACCTCTTCTTTAATTCTTCTTGATTTCATTCTAAAATTTAGAGAGGTGTGTTTGTCAGCTTTGTGTTACTGTGACAAAATACCTGAAACGACTTTAAAAAAGGAGAGGTCTGTTTTGACTCAGTGTTTGAGGTTTCAGTCCATAGTCTGTTGTCCTGTTGCTTTTGGACCTGTGGCAGTGCAGTACTTGAGAAAGGAAACCTTCACTTTTTGATAGCAAAAAGAGACAAACGAGTAGCCAGGGTTCTGATAATGTCCTTCCAAGACATATCCCAGTGACCTAACTTCCTTCCACTAGGTCCCTCCTCCTGAAGGTTCTACCTCTTCTCAGTAGTGGCAGGGGATGAGGACCAGTCCTTCAACATCTAGGCCATTGTGGATATTTAGGATCCAAACTACAGCAAGTGGTATTCTAAAAAGAGTTGAATTCCTTAGAACATATGCTCTGTATTACCTGAGACTTGGCTTCAGCACCAAGCCAAGAGGCAGGCTTCCAGTGTGTCATTTTGGGAGTGTAGTAAGGGCTGAGAGCTGAAAAGCAGGCCTAATTCTGGCTTTTTGTTTCTCCATTTCTCCATGGTAGAATCTGACTCTTCCCCAGCTACTCTCCACCTGTCTCCACCCTGGAGTGCATTTTAAGTTATTTAAAACAATTTTTTTTAACCTATTTTATCTATTTATTTTTTGTGGTACTGGGGTTTGAACTCAGGGCCTGCACCTTGAGCCACCCCACCAGCCCTTTTTTTGATGGGGTTTTCTATTTGCCTGGGGTGGCTTTGAACCTTGATCCTCCTGATCTCTCCCTCCTGAGTAGCTAGCATTGTAGGCGTGAGCCACCAGTGCCCGGATGTTTGTTTATTTTTTAGACAAAGTCTTGTAGTGTTGTGTAGACTGGTCTTAAACTCTTGGGCTCAAGCAATCCTCCTGCCTCAGCCTCTTGAACAACTGGGGCTACCGGTGTTTATCACCATGCAAGGTTTCATGCAACTGTCTGCTTTTAGAAGCCTGAATGACAGGGAAGGAGATACCTGAGAAAACAGCAGTTGAAGTCCTTACGTAGACTTTTTTTTTTTTTTTTTTTTTTTTATGGTGCTGGGGTTTGAATTCAGGGTCTCATGCTTTCTAGGCAGATGCTGTACCACCTGAGCCACTCCTCCAGCCCTACGTTCTTACATAGAGAACCAAGTGTGACCCAGGCAAAGGTCAGCATGCAGGTAGTAGCTGTCAGTTTTCAGAGAATGTCTCTGACTCATCTATGATCATACAGGAACCTGGTCACAGTGTAAAGCATCACTGAAATGTAGAATTCTTTGAAAATGGTTTATTATGGTAAACTTAAAAACAAATTATCCACTTATGGTTAATGATATCCATATTGACTTTCCCCCACCTCTTCCTGTCACTAAACCAATCCATGACATATTTCACCAGTAAACACCTCAGAATACATCTGTGAAAGGTATGGCAGAGTCTAAAACTCTCAAGCCTTATTCCAGAGCTCCTTCACTGAAAATAGCCCTTGAGTGGAGACCAGCTCTCCTCTGGTTCTTCTGCCACAGACACAGACACAGGTGTATGGCTGCCTATACATTTTCTTTTCAGCACCACCAGTCGCTGCTTTTTTTTTTTTTTTTTTTTTCTGTCAGTACTGAGGTTTGAACTCACAATCTCATGCTTGCTAAGCAGGCGCTCTACCACTTGAGTCACTCTACCAGCTCTTTTTTGTGTTAGGTATTTTTTAGATAGGGGCTTGCAAACTATTTGCTTGGGCTGACTTTGAACCATAATCCTTCTAATCTCAGCCTTCTGGGTAGCTAGGATTATAGGTGTGAGCCACCACCTCTTACTACTGGATTATAGAATTCTGTATCAAGGGGCGAAGACACAGTGGTACTTCCTGAACATGGAGGAGAGAGCTTCCCTTCCCAATGTTTCTGAGCTTTTGCTGTACACAGTATTTCCCCAAGATTTTTAGCAAAGTCCTTTTATTCTTTCTTAAATTAAAGGACAAAGATTCTGGATATAGCAAATTTTTTATATCTTTTTAAAATATCTACTTTATTTCCCTCATGACTTCCTTAGCCAAAATGAATTATTTCTACTAAACCCATAGCTCTAAGAATACACTAATGACTATTGCTCCCTCCTGTACTGTGACATCATGAGCTGCCTATGACACCATACCTGTTTGTCCTAAACTGCCAGAAGTCTAAAGCTCTGTCTACCCTGTTGAATTCAGGAGCTCTCTCAGAGGGACGCAGACTGCCATCAATTTGTCCTGAGTTTGTTTTGCTCGGGTGACCACGAACCCTTTTATAACAGGAGAGTGCTGGAAGAACAGTGTGACAAGGATCTCCAGCCACCAAGGGATGGGGAGACATCCCACAGAGCTCAGATTCAGCAACAGCGGTGCTGTGTGGAGGATTTGAGGCAACAGATCCTACGAGGACAGATTAGAGCTGAGAAGGAACTGGAATTCCACCAGGCTGCATCTGCCAGCAGATTAAAGACAGTAAGTGTCCACCACTTGAGGTGTCTGCCTCACCGAATTGCTCCAATTTCATGTTTCCACAGCCTTCTGTATTCTCTTTCTTTTGTTTTCTTTGTGATATGATGGAATCTTGGCTATTAGGGGTTCTCTCCATTCTTTTAGAGATGAGAGGGTCTTATAAGGGGGCTGGAAGTATGAAGAAAGCTGACTTCTTCATGGCCCCTCAGAGTGAGGAACCTCCTACTCACTCCTTCTCACTGGCACATTTGCCCATACTTTTCTGCCCAGCATGTGCCCATTGTTGTGCTAAAGCCTAGGGTCTTCATTCCCTGAGGGTAAGGAGGTCTTGTAGTCTTCGCTGTACCACATCTCCCTAGCCAGCCCTTTTCACACAGCTCCAGCCCTGGCTGGAGTCCAGGCAACCACAGGCAGAGAGGGAGGTGCTGACCTTTCTGAGTGTTTTGGTTCCCAGACCATCAGTGGCTGCTCAGAGAAGAGACCTGGCTGGCCAGATTACAGGAGCAGCAGCAAGAAGACGACCGTGGAGAAGGGAAAGAACTTGAGGCCTCTGTAGCACCTGATGCTTGGCTTCAGACGGACCTTGAGCCTCTGCCATCCCGACTGGTCCAAAGCCAGAAGAGGGTGGTGCAGCTGCAGCTTCTGCGGAGACACGCTCTTCGGGCAGCTGAGCGGCACATCCGGCAGAAAAAGGTCTTGTTCCAGCTGGAGAGAATCATCAAGAAGCAGAGGCTGCTAGAGGCCAAGAGGAGGCTGGAGCAACTCAGGGCATTGTGCTGGCTTCAGGATGGCAGTGCCCCCAGGACTCCATGCCAGGTCCCCAGCTCTAATGCTGCAGGCCCAGGGCCTCAGCATAGAAGCAAATGGACAAGTTGCAGTTCTTCAAGCCTCCAAAGGCTCTGCAGCAAGCACTTGCCCCAGCTACACAGGTACAGCCGCTTTGGTCACCTGGGAGCACTTGGCTAGAGTGTTCTTTACTCCCAGTGCCTCACTTCCTTCAGTCTGTGAAGCGGGGAAATGTGTTTGTTCCTCCCTTCCTCTCAACTGTCTCCCCTTCTGCCTTTTCTTCTTCTGTTTATCTTTCCAGATTCAGGCTTCTCCTTCCCCCTCAGAGTAGCAGCACTTGCTTCCTGCTGATACCTTCTGAGTAAGGATCTCAGCCTCATCTTCACCTGTTCTTTAGACTCTCTGCATTTCCTTATATGTCCTACCACCACCTCAGTCTCATCCTGTCTCAAACCAGACTTCTTTCTTCTCACACACTGCCTCCCTCTCCCTCCCTACTACATGCAGTGAGCTTCCTGGCCCCACCTCCACCTAGTGAGTGAGCTAGCTTTCTGACTCCTAGGTTCACATTATTATACAGGTTTTTCCTATTTCTCTTCCCTTTCACTCTCTGCTGTCATGGGGAGGTCATGTTTTCCCACAGAGCAGAGGCCTGTGTCCTAGTCCTCTGTATCCTTAAGGTCTAACACCGGGCTTTGCCCACTATGTCCATTTCTGCTAGTTTGCTTACACCTCTGGTCTTCAGAGTACAAGGCAGCTTTTTTTTTTTTTTTTTTTTGCCATACTAGTGTTTGAATTCCGGGCCTACACCTTGAGCCATTCCATCAGCCCTTTTTTGTTATGGAGTATTGCAGACTGTTTGCCCTGGCTGGCTTTGAACTGCAATTCTTCTGATATCTCCCTCCTGAGTAGCTGGAATTACAGACATGAGCCACCAGTGCCTGGGCTAGACAGGGTTTTTTTTTAAAAAAAACTTTTTATTTGGGAAAATTTTCAAACATAAACAAAATTGAGAGACTGGTATACATATCATCCACATTCAGAAGTTACCAAGCTTCACCACATTTGCTTTTTCTCCCCAAGTATTTTAAAACATCATGTCATTTCAACTCTACATCTTTAAGTATGCACTTCTAAAAAAATATGGACTAGTCTAATAACTACTCTGTCATTATCATACCTACCAAAATTAAGATTACTTGATATAAACTAAAACCTGGATTATATTCAAATTTCTCAAATCACTTGAAAAAAATCTCTATTTCCAGTTGGTTTTTCAAATCAAGATCCAAATAGGATTTACATAATTTCTGTGACTATTATGCCTTTGTTTCCTGTAATCATTCTTTTTAATTTTTTTTTGTGGTACTGGGTTTTGAACTCAGGGCCTTCACCTTGAGCCACTCCACCAGTCCTTATTTTTTTGTGATGGTTTTTTTCAAGATAGGGTCTCATGAACTATTTGCCCGGGCTGGCTTCGAACTACATACGATCCTCCTGATCTCTGCCTCCTGATTAGCTAGGATTACATGTGTGAGCCACTGGCACCTGGTTTAAATTTTTATTTCATCATATCATTTATTTGCTAAAGAAAGTGGGTCAGTTCTGTAGAATGCAACACTTTCTAGATTTATCTGTTTGATTCCTCGTAGTATCATTTAAATTGTTGCTTTTTTCTCACATTGCCTATTAACTGAAAGTTTTCCCTAAAGGTATGAGTAGATTCAGTTCAACTTTTTTATAAGAAAGAAGTTGAGCCACAGGGTGTATGTGGGACTTCTTGGAAGCCAGAGCTATAGTTCAGTTTCCTTTTGTACCCATAGAGCTTTTCTCTGACTCTATAAACTGTGGGACAGATTGACATCAGCCTGGTTTTTTAATGTCTTTAAAAGCAAACTAAGTAGAACTTCATACATCTTCTGTCAGCAGGAAGTAGGGGACTTCTTACCTTTTCTGAGGTTTTCCTTGTTTCCACAGTGTTTTACTGAATTCGGATCCTTCCACCATGTTACCACCTATGCCTGACCTAACTCACCAAGTACCAGAGAAAACACCATCCGCAGATCCTGTGTACAGGCCTGCTTCCTACACCCTAAGAACAGGACATCTGTGCAGGAACAGCCTCCGACTCCAGTCCTCAGGCCAGGGGCAGCTCTGCCCAGCAAGGGGAGCCTCAACCAGGAAGGCAGCCTGCACTCCAGGGACCTGCCACACTGTGAGCAACCACGAGTCTGTTGACAGCCAGAAAATGCAGACCAGGGGTATGCAACCCTGTCAGGTGGTGTCTCAGGGCTTAGTATCCATGTACCAGCTAGTTAACAAGCTAAAGCCAAGGGATGGACCCAGGACCCTTGCCCCTACCACCCAGACCAGAAGGATTATGGGACTAGCAGCCTATGGCAACACACAAACTGGATGGAGAAAAGAATGGAACCTTGGGATCCACAAGGTTGCTAAGAGAGCCAGTTGTCATTCCCTTTGTTCCCATGGACCCAAGCAGGCAGCCAGGTGTGGAAAAGCAGCCAGGACATTTCAGGCAGAATCCAAACCACCTCCTTCAAGCAGGGCATTAAAAAGGCATCAGAAGGCACTGGCAGTTAGGGTCAGAGACATTGCCAAGTTCTCTCATGGCAGTTCTTTGAAGAGACAACACAGTTTAGGGGATCCAGTTGCCATGACTTCACTCACAGATTTCAGCCCTGTAGTGGTTAGTGCAAGAGAAAAAGACAATGACTTATCAGACACAGGTAGCAATTACTCAGTGGATTCTCTCTCTCATGTCTATGCTGAAGTCCCAATGGAGCCACCAAAGTCAGAAAACCTTCAGGGAAAATGGGGTCTCACAGAGCTAGAGAACTCTGAAAGTGATAACAGCCAGATATCTGAGGATTCGCTGGCTGACAAGGGGTACCAAAGCCCAAAAGAAAGAGTAGGGGGCATTTACCCCATCAACAACCAGGGCCACCCAAGGAACAGAACTACAGCCCCTGTGAGGGGCTTCACCACACTGTCAGACAGTGACCCACATGCTCACAGGACCTTTTCCTTGGATAGCCTGGTTGGTGCTGAGGAAGAAGTGGGAGAAGATCAGCAAGAGGAGACTTTCCTTGGCTCAGCTGATGAGTTGCCTGCAGAGGCTTTTTGGCGCCATCCAAGCTCCAACTTGCCTGTAACAGACCAGGAGGCAAAATGCAGGCCTGGTCCCATCCACCACACAACAGAAGCAAGGCTGAATGCCATCCTGCCAGTGAGCAGTAGCAGTTCATTTTACCTCAGTCCTCACTCCCAGCCCCATTGTGAGCACTCTGAATTAGAGGCAGCTACATGCTACTCTGGACAGGCCAGCTCTCTCCAAGGCCTGCAGCTTTCACAAGAGAGCCCACTGCTGTCCACGGATTCCTGGTTTTCCTGTGACTCTAAGATCAATCCTAGTCCCCCAGGAATAACAGGTCCAAGTCCTGATGTTCAGGAAGTTCACTCTTGTGGTGAGGAGAGGCCTGGATACAGGCTAAATGTAGAAGAGCTAAAGCCACCAGGTGCAGAAACAGTCCTGCCACACTGCTCCAAACTGCCCCGAGCCAGCATGGAGCCACCCTGTGATGCAAAAGATGTATACACAGCCTCTGCTTCTGATACATCCAAGCTATCAGTTTGTGGAGTTCAAAGGCTTCTTTATCCAGGAGCTCATGGCATCTTTCAGGGCAGAGGGATCCCTGACTTAACTCAAGAGGGCAGCTCTGAAGTTTACCACTATTCTGGTATACCGAGTGTGCTAGCTGCCTCTGCCACCTCATTCACTCATGTAGGCAGCATTCATGGAAGGGACTGGACTGCCCTTCAGCAAAAGTATCTTCTTGAACTCTCCCATCCTGTTTTAGAGGTTGTAGGAGAGCCCAGGCCAGCTTCTCCCTGCCTTGAGGAAGACTCTAGTTCCATGGCCAAAGCTCCTGGTAAAGAAAGAAATACTCAGTTGCCAGTCGACCCTAGGGTTTCTAGCAATGTGGATTTCAACAACTCTCCAGTTCATCTATCCAAAATCAGGCATTTGAGAGCAGAGAAAAATCAAGACAGTTCAAGTACCAAGTTTGAAAGTGCTTCTGATTTCATTAGCACTAGTGAGAAAGAGGCAAGTTATAGTGGAGCTTATTCAGCAGACGTAGAATCATTGGCTTCTGAATCTACAAATGTACAGATCTATGCAGTGGAGAACAAGGTACCAGATTCCGTGATAGAAGCATGTGAGGTCAAACCAGAAGAGTGCTTTCAGGGAAACAGGAAACCTGGACTGATGACTTCCTCTGATGAGTGTTTCTTACAGAACAATGCTTGTTACAAAAATGTCACTATAGCCACCAAACAAGCCAAGCTCCTCTTGGGAAAAATAGTGCAGTTCAGCCTGGACAATCAAGTCATAGCAGTGACTATCCCCTACAGGAAGAGAAGGAAGATCATCAGGAGAGCTCTAAGGAAGTAGTTGGAAGACACACAAATGTTTCCTTTGCCTATGCATCAGGTCCAGAGCTATACCTTCACTCTGCTCCCTGGAATTCTCTCCCGTCTTCTCTACAGCCACCCCCCTTGGAAACATTCTATGTAACCAAAAGCAGGGATGCTCTGACAGAAACTGCCTTAGAGATTCCAGCTTGCAGAGAAATACGGGTACCATCACCACCTCCCAGGGAAGCCTGGGGCTTTGGTCACACCTTCCAAGTCCTTGAACAAGCTTATTTGAAGAGTAATTTGTCAGACCTGTCACAAAGCCAGAAGTCCAAGATTGCCTCATCTCAACAGGTGACAGCAGAGAGGCCAGTTGATTTGGGTATGAGGAAAGCTATTGGAGAACCAGGAGAATGCCTTGGAAATATTAAGGAAGAAAACCATAAATCTATTTATTTTTTTGCTCAGAACAGTCAGTTTCTCCCTTCTGCCAGTACAAATGTAGGTGAATTTGAAAGTCAAGTTGGCATTTTAAATAAAAAGCCTGGTTGTCTAGCATGTACGGAGGGAGAAATGGCTGCTGCACGGTCCCATTGCAGTGTTTCCTTAGACAGCTCTGGGTCTGGGAAGTCTATCTTTTATATTTGTGACTCTGAGGCAGGTGGGAAAGAAGAGCAGGATCAGAATGCAGTCCTGCCGCAAATCCAGGCCTGCAATACAGAGAGACATCTTCCTTCTGGAGCCAGGGCTGATTTCATCTGTAAAACCAACTTAGGCCTTGAGAAGGACCTGACACGGAAAACTGCTGATTCTTTGAAGTCCAGATCAGCCTATCTCAGAGTAAGTAGGCCTGTGATCAGGGCTGAGAGTCCTACCCACAAGTGGCAAAGGAAGAATGAAGCCAAGCTTCTTGGAGAAAGTCTTCATCCCAAAGTCAGCCCAGAAGAGTTTAAGTTTCCAGGGACAGAGTCTGCTTGTGAAAGACTGCAGTCAATTACGTGTGCTCAGGAAAGAAACCCCAGTGAATGCAAGGGTGCTGGGGGGTCACAAGAAATGATAAACTCCAAAAAAGAACCTTTGGAGAAGAAACAGAAAAAAAGAGTTAATAATGCTGATGAAATGGCTAAGCTAATGAAGAGTGTAATGCAACTGGAGAATGGCATCTTAGAAATTGAATCTGAGCAGAATAAGTGGCTTCATGCTTCTCACACACAAGGAGTCAGTAAGGAGTTTGTGTTCCAGGACCAAAAGGACCAGGAGAGGGTTGGTCATATCCTGAGGACAGGTAGCTCTGGAAACCATTCATCCTTCAAGGACCAACTGTCTTCCCCAAGACAGACAGATTATGTTATCTTTTGTGACGGTGAAACTGGAAAAATGGAGGTTCACAGTCCCCAGGTCCAGAAAAGCACTAAAAGCCCTTTAATAGCCTGGGAATGTGCACAAGAGGGTCAGTCTCTGAGAGATCACGCCCACTCAGCTGAATTAGACAGACCCTCCAGTGACACGCGTGATTCTTTGGGGAATGATTCAGCTCATACTTCTCTTCATCCGAGAAAAATGAAAACATTGGCTAGAACTCTACTGTTGCAATCCAGACCAGAGGGATCTTCTGAGAAGGATGGCAATCTGGCAAAAGCATCAGCAAACCAAAAAGAGCAGCCTTGGGCCTTGGGAAGTCTTGAGGAAATAGAGACCATAAAAAATTTTCAGGAAAGTCAAGCCACTGAACACATGAGTAGTATTTCAGAGCAAGAAGACCCAGCAGCTCAAGGTAGAGTTGAAGAAATGGCCATGCAAAGGGGAGGGAGCCTACAGGAAGAAAATAACACAGCTTTGTTGACTGATTGGTCTTCTGGTCAAAGCCAGCAAAATGTGGGCACATTTTTCAGTCAAGAGGCTAGCTCTCCATTACTGAACCAGACAGACTCCTCTTCAGCAACTTCTCACCAAGACCTAAACAGTTCTTTGCCCTCAGTTTCTCCAAGGCTACCAAGAAACTGTCTTCATGCCTTTGACACTATAGACATTTCTTCAGTTGACTGTGATCCCACAGTATTGAAAATTCGTAACAGTCCCCTGGTAAGTGGAGTAGAATGTCAGGACGAGAGCCCTCAGGGACGTGTTGGAGGAGGCTCCTCCACTGTACACACTGTTTGGTGTGAGTCTGTGATGCCCATGGGATCTGATGTTCAGTCTGTTATACCGAAGAGCATTCCAGTGGGGACAGTGGACTGGATAACAGCAAGCACCAGCCCTCATGACCAAGGAGAGGACCTCAGAATCACTTCAATGGGTTTGAATACCCCGGAAGGTTTTGATTCTGAAGCTGAGGTAGCTGTCCAAAAAGAAGTAAGCACCCATTCCTTAACTAGGGTCTCTGGGCAACTTGAAAAGAAGGTCAGCTTCCTCTTGGAAGAGGATATCGACCGAGGCAAGGAGATAAGTCAGGAGGAAGAGGAGGAGGCCGAGGACCAACAACCTACCAGCAGCACTTGCTTAGCACTTGTTTCCCTTCCAAGGGTGCCTGATGCAGAAACCATGCTGTCGCAGTCCTCCCTCCATGCATCCATGTGCCTGGCTATCTTGCAAGAAATCAGACAGGCAACAGCCCAGAGAAAGCAGCTTACTGACTTTGTGACTGAGGGAACAGCTTATTGTGAAACTTCATTAAAACCTGAATGTTTTTTAGGGGCTACTGGCAGACCTCAATGGCAAATGGACCAGTTAGAAGTGTCAGACAGGCCTAGGAATGAGGGTGGAGCACAGGGATCACATGAGCCATCGCTGTCTGCATCAAGACATCTGTTAGTTGATGAAAGGAGACCCCAGGCCACACCTGTCTGTGCAGACAGCTTTCGACCTCTGCCCCATCCTGAAACTGACAAAGGGCCATGGCATCCTTCACAGGCTTCCTCTCACACTGCCTCTGATCAAGACAAACGACCTTACTCAGGAGAACTAAGACATCTCATGGAAGCAAGTGAGCAGTTTGTGGGTCAATCTAGTTCTGAAGTCACAGAGATAAAGAAAGAAACACCCAGAATACCTTCCTCTGCTGATACTTTGACTTCAGACAGGCCTCTTTCTTCACCAGTGGTAGAGGGGGACAGGAGGACGGGATTGGAGAAGGTAGTGTCTGCCTTACCTTCTCAGACCCCTTGCTATGATCCTGAGGGGGTTCTATTTGGACAAAGTCAGGTAGCCACATGGGGGAAGACCATGGAAGACATGTCCCCTGGCAGTCAGTACAGCAGCCTAAGGCACCAGGAATTTAAAAATCTAGATACCATGTATGGAGGAGGCTCAGGTAACTTCTTAGTGACTGCCCAGGGAGGAAAAACAACCCATTTTGAAAGTCAATCTGTGATTTGTGTTGTTCACAATTCTGCAAGCCTCTCAAGGCCTAAGGAAGACCATGTCTATTGCCCTGAGGCTTCTACTGGCTTAGAAGACGGCAGGTCAAGTCCAAAACAACATGCTATTCTGGCTGGAGCTCCAAGAAAGGTTGACCTAGAAGTTCCCACATGGCAACACGTGAAGTGGAAGGAGAGTATTGGGTCTGGGTTGGCAGAAGCCTGCAGGACCAGCAGCAAAACTCCCAGGCCAACTCCATTGCCAAAGCAAAGACCTAGCTCAGATCCTAGGGGAGTTATGGAGGAGGCCCCGTGCCAACACCCAAAGGAGGCTTTAGATTACCTCATCTTCTCTGGGAACACTGAAACTAGCAGGCCCTTTGGCTCCTCCAGGAGGGAAGAAGACAGCAGGTCTCTTCCTTGCCAACAACTGTGCAATTATCAACCCATTGCTACTCATCCTTCCACTTTGCTGTGTTACAGAGATGGTGAACTGAGGAATGGGACTTCCAAGGTTGACCCACCCCACTACTCACCTTTCATAGTGCCTTCCAGGGCCTGTGAAATGGATGAGATAGGAGAGAGCCCTTCCACAGAACGTCACTTGCTCTTGGCACATGGCCTTGAGCACAAAGGTGTTCATGTGGAACTTGAACCAATGAGCAGTAGCCACACTCTTGAGCCACCCACTGGAGTTGCTGCCCTATCTCTAGCTGGAGGCTGCAGTTCCCCTTCCACCCCTGGTGTGAGGACAAGTTTCCTCACCCACTCAGCTGCTGATAGAAGCTTGAGGTCAGTGAGGAGTCCTGAGAAAAAGGTGACTGAGAAAGCCAGCACTGAACTTGAGGCTGTCCTTTTCCCTGAAGTCATGATCTCTGAGCCATTGAGGACTTCAAAGGATTGCTCTGTAGGTGGCCAGAGTGCACCGGCATCTCAAACTAAGCCAGAACCACCTGCAACAACTAAGGGACCACGCAGCCTGAATTTAAGAGAAGGGTCTGTTGAGAGCGAGCTGGTGGCAGAGACACAGCATAGATATTTAGAAAATGCCATTAGACACCTTTCAAAAAAGACACAGCCTTCCACTGAGTCCACAGGTCACAGTTGCTCAGATTCCAAAGCCAGGTTTCTAGCTAGGTTAAAACGTGTCTGCAGTCCTCAGCCTGACAATTCCTGGGAGGAGGAAGAAGAAGAGCAACAGAAAGACCAAACTTTGGGAGGTGATGAAGCCCCTGCCCAGGGTAGCAATCCCCCACCCTCTGATGAAGAAGACTTGGATGGCTGTCAGATGAGTGGTGCTAGAGAAGGGGAAGTGGCTGTGACCAAGTCTCCTGGGTCCCAGACTTTCTTTTCAGGGTTTAAGGACCCAGCTCCTGTGTCCTTGGAGCAAAGTGAAGCACCACAGCCTGCTGCCCAGAGGCCTGGCCAGCCCTGCTCTGATAGGGAGCAGCCGGCTCCCCACCAGAGGTGCTGTCTTCCTGTGATTGCAATTTTCTCTGGCTCCAAACCCTCCAAGTCTTCCCCTAGACCGCAGTTCTCCGTGGTCAGCTCATCTCGGTCTCTTAAGGAACTCAACTTGAGTGTAGAGCCTCCTCCTTCTACAGACGAGGATGCACAGGGGCCTAACAGACTGTGGAGCCCACATCTCAGGGACTGTTCAGGAAAATCAGTTGCAAGAACATGTCTGAGGTCTGAGGACTGTAATCAGAAATCTTCATCGAATTTGGACACTAGCCCTGCTGATTACAGGCCCCTGAAACCTGCCACCCCTCCTTACCCAACGTCTCCTGCTCTCTCATGCATGCCAACCCCTGATTTCATGACCAGCTGGATTTCTGGCACTTTGGAACAGGCCCAGCAAAGAAAGCCAGAGAAATTGGGTGTCCAGGTTAGGCCAGATCATTGGTGCTCTCAGCTGGACAAAGGAATGTTGCACATTGGCTCCAGTGACATCAATCCCTATGTCTTGCCCTGGTCTCCAGCGGGGTCTTCATGCATTGGCTGGAAGCAGTATGTGTTTGGCAGTGCAGTTGATGTCTCCTGGAGCCAAAAGCACCATGGCCTGATACCATCAAATGTGGCCCAGTGCTCCAGCATGGACCATTGCCTAGAAGGCCAGAACTCAGCATTCCACTCCCACCTCAGCATCTATGCCAAAACCCGGGATCTGTCAAACACACGCAGCAGCATTGAGAATGCCCGAAGTTCAAATGAGGCTGGGGAAGTGTGGCATTCCTCATTTGCCTTAAGGGAACCCCACATCCTGACTGGCCCTCAAGGGGTAGACCCCACTTCAGGTACTGACAGAAGACCCCACTTTCAGGACCCCAGTGATGAAGCTAGCTGCACCAAGAGTGAGCTCCCACTGGCAGAAGGAAGTTCTGCAGGTCCTGTGGATGAGATTGTGCTTCTGTACCCATCAGAGGCAGGCTGCCGTATGGAACAGGCTAGGATAAACACCTTGGAGCAGGGCACGCAGACCCTGGGCACTGACGTCTCTGCTCAGCCTGTCTCCAGTGTTGTGTCAGCCTGTGACCTGGCCGCCTGGACCAGCATGCACAATCTGTCTCTCCATCTCTCACAGCTCCTGCACAGCACCTCAGAGCTACTTGGCACTCTCTCCCAGCCAAGTGTAGTCCAAAAGGAGGAGAACACCAAGAGTGATACCTCAGATGAGGCCGCACAGGCCCTTAGAATGGACGGTGCTACTCAGACAACTGTGGATGAGGGAAGCCAGACTGACCTGGCTTCAGCCCTTCTCCCCCTCCACGTGCCAGAGATCAAACCACAGGAAGTCAATGTGATCCTTGAAGTGCTGGGCTCAGGTATCGAGCCCCTGTCTCTAGAAAAGGACCATGTCCCAGAGGCACTTCAGAAGAGAGAAGCAGAGGAATCAGCACAGAAAATGACCTTGCCTCCAGATCTTCATGAGGAAAGCACCCCCTGTGGCCTGCAGAGTCCTCCAACGCCCTCATCCCACTTGAGGGTTGAGAAAGCCCGTCTTGGGCAGAGCATCCCTTCTGAGAGCCCCCCAGCTTCTCCTGATGCTGCCCTGCCTCCCAGCTCCCAGCCAGAGCAATCCTCCTGCATGGTGGTCAATAACCCCAGCATCCCTCACTCACCAGGGTTGTTTTTTGATACTTCAGAGTCTACCTGGGACCCTGGCATCCAGAAGAAGCTGGGCCCCTTGGGGGCCTTGTTGGTGGACCGGGCCTCCTCCCCAATTCTCACCCTCAGGGCTGGCACCCAAGAGTCAGGTCCCCCCCTACATGCTTGGATTCCCTCAGCTCTGCCTCTTGAAGACCACCCGAAGCTTGACTTTAGTCTAGACCTTGCTCTACGTGCCCCCAAACCTCCAATGGATAGTTATTCTCAAAGTATAGACGTGTCATGTGGCTCCCAGAAAGTTGAGTCTGGAGGTAGAGGAGGCGTGAGTCCCTTAGAAAGGAGTGCTGAGAGCTTACTCCTGGAGGCGAGCTCCCCATGTACCCCCCTACAGAGCACCAGAATCCAAGTTAGTTTCTCAGGGGAATCCCCTCAGCAGCTTCAGCCCAGGACGGCCACCAGGGTCCAAAAAAGACTGCCGCCTCCACCACTGAGGCACAGGAGCTTGAGGCTGGCTGATAGCTTTGTGCCTGAAGTGGCAGCTTCCTCAGAGCATGGCTCACTGAGCAGTAGAGGGCCAAGTCGATGGCAGGGCAGGCTGGAAAGTGGGAGTGAAAGTGTAGCATCTATGGTGGAGCCACAAACCACTCTAGACCTCTCCTCTTCGTGGAGAGGCCTCCAGCCCCTTAGCCCCTGCTCTGTCTCTCACCTGGCCGACACTGCAGGGCTTCGAGCTTCTACCTTGGGCCCACCTGAGGCTGGACAACTTGAAGGGCTACTGTGCCCCAGTTCCCCAGTGTGCATGGCCCCTGAGCCCCAGCATCATAGCCTGAGAGACCTTCCACTGCATAACAAATTTAGTAACTGGGGTGGGGTTCATGATGGCTCTCCTGGGGGGCTGGGTGTAAGTAAAGATCTCAATGCTGGAGAGCAGAGACAAAGGCCTCCGCAACCTCCCAACAACCTGGATCCTGAGTGGTCCCGCAGGGAGCAGATCCCCCTGCACGTTGGGGTCCAGAAGCCCTCACTCAGCATAGAACTCACGGAAGCAAAACTGCATCGTGGCTTCGGGGAGGCGGATGCCCTTCTGCAGGTGCTGCAGACTGGGATGGGGGAGGCACTTGCTCCTGATGAACCTGAACCTGTGACATTCACCTGGAAAGAGCTGTATTCCCGGTGAGCTCTGCAGCCTGGTAGGCAAGGGGTGGGCCAAGAGGGAGGAGAACATGAGAAAGCTAGCAGCGGGGTGCTCCCTCTGCCCTTTCTTAGAGTCAGAACTTGAGGTGATGGACATTCAGGGCCCGATTCAGTGAATCAATCACGTTCTGTCTCAGGCAGAAAAAAACTATTGAGACCCTCAGGAGAGAGAGGGCTGAGCAATTTCAGAACATCCGTCGGACACGAAGCCTCAGCCCCCAGAAGCAGCAGAGCTTCCTGTTCAACAGGGATCTCCCCAACCGTGAACTCGATTTGCCCAGCAGACGCCGGGAATACTTGCAGCAACTGAGAAAGGATGTCGTGGAGACTACCAGGTAACAATGGACCCAGAACCCTGCAGGGGGCAGGGGCTGGAGTTTCAGCATCCTAGAGGCTCCTCCATGCCTGTGGACACCTGGAGGGGGAGGATATGGGACGCTAGGACAGACAGAAAGAAGGGGATATAGGATATAGGAGGGAATAGAGTGAGGGAAGTTGGGCAAAGAAGAGTCATGGAAAATGATGGCCAGAGGGGCTCTGACCTGCCTTAAAAGTCTGAGAATGGCTGTTCCTTTCTTTTCTGGAAGCCTCTGCTGAGAAGGTAAAATCATGCTCCTGTGCACGAAGGGAGGGTGGTTCTTCAAGAAGGTGATATTGAACCACCTGGGCTGGGCAGGCCAGGGCTGTCACCAGCCATCTTAGAAGGTCTCTTTTAACCCTGTGATCCTGCTAGGAGCCCAGAATCACCATTGAGGTCTGTTCATGCCTCCTCTGACATCGATCTGATGCTGCGGGACTATCAGCGGGCCCGTGAGGAGACCAAAGTGGAGATTGCCCGGGCACGGGAGAGGCTGCGGGAGCGGACTGAGCAGGAGAAGTTGAGGATCCGCCAGCAGATCACCACCCAGCTGCTGAGGGTGCGGCTGTGCCTTCGCCTCAGATGCTGAGTGTGGAGCTAGAGCACATGCAGAAGGGAGTGGGACCCAGCTCAGCGTGGGGCTCAGGGGCTCCTTCTACCCACATCAGACCAGACCCTGCCCTCCTTCCCTCCCTCCAGCATCTGGGACCAAGGGGAGAAGAGGCTTTGGTGGTAGTTGGGTGGGAGGAGGCCATGGGAGGTGGGTGCAGGAGCTGTGAAGGTGGGAGAGGATGGTTGGGGAGGGGATGTGGGGGTGAAGATGCATGGAAGTTGCTTAATGATGGTCTACACTTCCCAGGAAGAGGAAAAACTACACTCCCTGGTCAACTCCAGCTCCCTGTGCTCTAGCTCCAATGGAAGCCTCTCTTCTGGTGTCACTTCTGGTTACAACAGCAGTCCAGCCTTGTCAGGCCAGCTTCCGTCCCCAGAGGGTGTGGTGAGTGGCAGAGATGTTGGGAACAGGCCAGGGGCCAGGACTCTGAAATGAGAGTTTGGGTCTTTGGACTTCCCTCTAGGCTCCCCACTCTCCCTCTGTCATTCTTTCAAATACCTTCTCTGCGTTTTGTAGGCACTATTTGAGGATACAGCAGTGAGGACAACTGTTCTTGTCCTTAGACTATTAGTAGGAAAAGCACCAACCTGCTTATTTTATGATTAATTTTCATCACAATAAGTTATTTGGAGAAAGGATGCTAAGCCAGAATAAAATGGGGGTCTGAGCAGGTGTGCAAGGTCAGAGACACCTGAGGACAGTGTGGAAGGAGGAGACATCCCCAGTGCTGGTGCTGAGAGAGATTCAGGCCCAGCAAGTGAGGCCTTGAGGAAGGGAGAGTTTGAGGAGCTGAAGGAGGCTGGTGTGGCTGGGACATAAAGAGTAAGGAGAGCAAATGACATGAGAGAGGATGAGAGAAGACCAAGGGGTGGAGACTGTCTGAGAACTCAGAGAACAGCTCATGATGTTACTTCCCAAAGAATTAAAAAAAAAAGAAAAGAAAAAACTGCTATAAGTGATAGGAACCTTTTACCTAGGAGAAGAGCATAGTGGGACTAGAAGGGGAGGTAAGTACAGTGCTGGGGATGACCATGGCAAAATGAGTGAGATGTTGAGGGCGTGGTTTAAGTGCAGCCAGTGAAAATGACTGCTTTGCAAGCAACAGAGAACGAATACAGGACTGGGCAGTGGGTGGGAGTTAGAGGGTGTCATGTGCATTTTTCGGTCTCCCATTTGCCCTCTCTGGAAGCGCTCATCGATCCCCCTTGGTGTCTACTCCCAGGGGGAATGTGCATATGCAGGAATACCATTCATGTGCATATGCAGGAATACCATTCATGTGTAAAGCCTGTGAATAGAAGCATTCTGTTACCCACTTTGTCACTTTGCTTTTTGAGACAGGGTTTCACTACATAGCCCAAACTGGACTGGAAGTCACTATGTAGCCAGTGTCACTTTGCTTTTTTTTCTCCTTAAAAAAGTCTTTTTGGCTGGGCTCCTTGATGTGCACCTGTCATCCTAGCTATGCCAGAGACTGGAATCAGGACTCTCAGTTCCAGGCCAGCCTGGGCAAAAAAGTTAGCTAAACCCCATCTCAACCTGGGGGTGGGGAGCAGCTGGGTATGTCATCCCAGCGATGGCAGGAATCCCAAATAGGAGAAATGTAGTCCAGGCAAGCCTGAGCAAAAACCAAGACCCTATCTTCAAAATAACTAGTGCAAAAAACAAAAACAAAAAACATGAAAAAATAACCAAAGCAAAAAGAGCTGGAGGTATGGCTCAAGCATGAGAGTGCCTGCTTTGCAAGTGCCAAGCCCTGAGTTCAAACCCTCGTACTGCCAAAAAAACCCCAAAACTTTAGGATTTCATTGCATATCAGTAAATCTAGTGCTAAATTCTTTTTAATAGCTGAATAGCGTTTCTTCCTCATTTACTGCTTTTTTAAAAAGTGTGATGTTTTGTACAGAACCGGCAAGAAATATGAACATACCTTTTTAAAAAATAAAGGTATACTAGGAAATGCTTATCCCTGACCCAGGCCACTGGTTCTTCTCCCTCTGTTCACCCAAAGAAAGCAGTGTGGATTTTCCAGTGTATCTTCCCAGAGGTCTTTATGCATACAAAATGAGACATGCTATGCTTTTTTCACACAGTGTGTCTTAGAACTCTTTCTACTTAAATATGTGGGGAGTTTTCTGCCTTGTACAGATGTGCTGTAATTCGTTTAATCCTGCAGTGTGGGTTGTTATCAGTCTTTTGCTGTTATCAACACTACAACGAAGAGCTTTGTGCATGTGTCATTTTGTATATGTACAAATATATCTGTGGGATGCAGTCTCAGAAGTAAATTTGTACACAGAGTATATGCGTTTGAAATTTTGATGCATTTTGACCAACTTTCCCCTCCAGATGTGCTAATTTATACACTCACCAGCAATGGCAAGTCTGGAATCTACCTTTCCCCACAGTCTTACCAACAGGTTATCAGTGTATGCGTGTGGGGGGGTGGGGGCGTTGCTAAAAAAGGTACCTAATTTTTCTCATATACTTTCAAATATTAAGCATAACAAAATACTTTATTCATTTTTCCATGAGCCATTGCTTATATTCTTTGCTCCTTTCTTTTTCACTTTTCTCTCTTTCTTTCTTTTTGGTAGTACTGGGATTTAAACTCAGGGCCTTGAGCTTGCTAGGCCGGCACTCTACCACTTGAGCCATGTCCTCAGTCCTTTTTTTTTTTTCTTACTAGTTTTTGAGAGCTCTTTATATATTAGGAAGACTAGCCCTTTACCTGATAGGAATTCCAAATGTTTTTTTCCAGTACTTCATACTCTTTTGACTTTATTTTTCTTGTGGTCATTCATAAAAATTTACTTACCAGTTTTTTTCTTACAATGTCTGGGTTGTAAAGAATAACTAGAGCCACCACGTCCATTCCACATTATGTACCGAATTTTTCCCGTGGTTTCTTGTGGAACCGCTGTGATTTTATTTTTCTTGTCTAAAAGTTCCATTTGGAATTACTTTATATGTAGTATGAGATGTGGATCCTTTTTATGCTTCCCAGCAGCTGTCAGTTGACCTGGAGACTTGTTGGACCATCTTTGTATCACCAGTTAAGGTGTCCCCTTACCTTCTGAATGACCAGGGGAAGCACCAGCTTCCCCTCCATCCTCATCTCCTCTTCCAGACCATTCATTCTGTTTGTTTTTGATATGAAATTTATCATTAGCTTTTCTAGTTCAATACAAAAACTAGTTAGTTTTTTAGTGGGACCATGTTAAATTCATGGAACAGCCTAGGCAGTAACCATATCTCACCCTGTGGAATTTCCTAACCAAGGACACAGTAGTTTCAAGCCATCTTTTCAAGTTTTCTTCATGGCTCTCACATTTCTTGTCAGATTCAGATTTATTCCTAAATGTCATAGCTTTTTTGTTACTATTTTTTAATGTCTTATTTATTGTGCTAGAGCCAGGTTATGCTGGTTTTAGGAGAAATGATTATTAAGATCTTTTTAAATCTTCAGGCTTTTTTTTTTTTCTTTTTGGTGGGACTAGAGTTTGAACCCAGAGCTTTGAGGAGGCTCACCTCTCTCCAGTCCATGTTGCTCTGATTAGTTTGGATATGGGGGTCTCAAGAAATGTTTTCCTGGGCTGGCCTTGAACCTTGATCTTCCCAATCTCAGCTTCCCAAGGAGCTGGGATTAAAGGCAGGAGTCACTGGCACCCAGCTTTCATTGCTACTGTCTTCTACCTGCTGACTTCTGTGCATTAATTGTATCATCTATATTGGTTTTTGGTCATCTCTAGATCTGTACTGTCTGCTCTTTCAATTTACTTAAATTAGTTACAATGAAAATCTTGGTTATTTATAATTAATACGCATTATGCCGCTTAATGGGATTCCAAGTGATTTCTGACATGCATACAGCGTGTACCTGATCATGTCCATCCCCCTTCTACTCTCTTCCCCCTTCCTGTCCCCAGTAATGATTCTTCCACTTTCAGATCGCTTTTTTTCTTTGTTTCCATATGTGAGAAAGAATGTGTGATGCTTGTCTTTCTGTGCCCGCTTTATTTTGTCTCACAAGATTCTTCCAGTTCTGTCCGTCTTGCTTCAGGTGACAGGGTTTCAAGTCGTCTTTATATATTTCCCTGATTCACTGTTGACAGGCACCTAGGCTGGTCCCATATCTTAGCTGTTGGGACTAGTGCCACAGTAAACATGGGCACACAGGTGTCTCTTTTATAAGCTGATTTCATTTCTTGGGATATATACACAGGAAGCTGTATGTATCCATATACACCTATGGATCCATATAGTGGATCTAATTTTAGCATTTGAGGACCCTCCTACTGTTCTGGTGGCTGTACTAATTTGTGTTCCCACCACAGTTTAGAGTTCCTTTTCACCACATCCTCACCAGCACTTATTTTTTTTAATAGGCATTCTAACCATGTTGAAATGGAATCATTGCATGTTTGTTGTGTTTGGTTTTGTTTTGTTTTTTTTTGTTTTTTTGATAGCACTAGAGTTTGAATCCAGGACATTGTGCTTGTTAGGCAGGTGCTCTGACACTTGAGCCACGTATACCTTAGCCCTTTTTTTTTTTGTTGTCATTTTTTTAGATAGGATCTAGGATTTTTGCCTGGGGTCAACCTTGTACAGCAATCCCCCTACCAATATCTTCCAGATAACTTGGATTACAGGCACAGGCCACCATGCCTATTGTTGGTTGAGAGGGAGTCTGACTAACTTTTTGCCTGGGCTGACCTCAAACCATAATTCTCCTAATATCTGCCTACCAAGTAGCTGGGATTACAGGCATGAGCCACAAAGCATAAAGGATTTATTTTGGCAAGATCTGTGAAATGGGCCTCTGATGTAATGTTTTTTGTGCTCAGCTATCTCAGCATTATTTATTAATTTATGATTATAATTGGAAGTCATCGATGTAGCACTGGAAACAGATGAGATCATCGAGGCATATATTATGGAGTAGAGAAGTAGGGCCTTGGCCTGAATCTTGAAACAATCCCAAAATGTTTTATGGCTGGAGAAGAGGAATCATCAACACCTGGGAAGGGAGCAGATTGCTGGGGAGGAGGAGCCCGAGGCTCAGTGACCAGGAGGGACTACAGCTGAAGTTATTCCCCCCATCCCAGCCCCATGGTATCCTGGACCTAGGTGATTGCTGTTTGGACAGGTGTGAGGGCAAACACTAGATGCAGGCGGGGATGGAAGTGAGAGAGAGGCAGAACACTGGGTTCTGAAAGCTTATCTGTGGGGGTGTGGGGGATGTTTGCATGCTTAAATGTTAATAGCAAGTACCCAGGGAAGAGGTGAGGAGAGAGTCAGTAGTGAAAGGTTTCCAATAGGGTGGCCTGAGATCTCAAGGGCTTGCTGTGTGTTGTAGCAGGAGGGATAGAGGTGAGGAAGAAGGTTGAGCTGTTTTTGTTCACCCCTTCTCTTGTCTTCACAGAAGCCATAGGTTAGGAAGCAATGGACAGAGGTGGCTTGTGGTTGCCTCTTAGGTCCCGCAGAGGGTAGGCCATGTTGTTGAGAAGCTAGCTGAGAAGCAGATGCAGAGGACCGACCCCATCTGGCCCAGAACAGGACCTCTGGAAGAGCTGCCACATCCAGGCAGTGGCCAAAGATTCAGCCTTTCTTCCCCATTCACCTCCCTCTGTGGCTTTTTTATCTACACTGACTCCCCTCCTGTGTTGGCTCCCTTGCTGTGGCCACCATGGATCTCCCACCCACTGATTCCTGAGGTTGGCAGGCTGGCAGAATGCCCAGTACTCAAGATCTGGTTCTTCTGCTTCCTGTTGGGACTGGTCTGCACAGTCTTTAAGCCCATGGCCTGGAGGGAGAGGACATTTTCCCAGCGGTTCTCCGCTGCTGACCTCATGGGAGCATCCAGCATCCTGTAATCCTGACAGGGAAGGTCTTGATGAAGCCAGTACAGGGGAAGCCATTAAGCAGTCAGAGATAATTCTGTGCCTGCTTTTGCGTTAGGTTCTGAGCATTCTCTCTTTTGCAGGGGGACTCAAACTCCTCGGATCCCAGAGACACCTGGATAGGGGATGGGCGGAGCCGCTCTGCAGTGAGGAATAGTCACCTGTATGTGGCAGGGACTGTCTGGAGGAGCTCTGCTTACAGTGAGTGGAGGAGTGCCAGGGGCATCCATACCTGTCCAGTCCCTGGTGGGAAGCTGTTGCTGTCCCCAGGCCCTGCCGTTTACTGCCAGCTTAGAGCCTTCACCTGTTCCTTGTAGGCTACAGAGCCTCGCTGGGCAGCTGCTGCTCTCCCTCCAGCCTGTCCAGCTTGGGGACCTGTTTCTCCTCCTCCTACCAGGATTTGGCCAAGCACATTGTGGACACCACCATGGCTGATGTGAGTCACTGCTCCTACTCATCCCTAGCCAAACCTCTGCTTGGTGGGAGGGGAGAGGAAAGGAGCCAGGCAGATTAGGGCCACCAAAGCTTGTGCCCTTCTTTTGTGGCTCTCCATCTCAACAGAAGGCATTCAGTGAATGCCAGCCAGATTGACGACCCTGCAGTGTGGTTTGTACTGTGTCTGTTAACTTGGTCATGGCCACTGTGTCCCCAGGTAATGGCTGCTTGTTCAGAGAATCTGCACAACCTCTTCACCCGCCAGCCGGCAGCTGGCTGGAAGTAAGTTCTGCAGTCGTGGTCCAACCCTGCTGTCCTGTTTGCCTTCTTTTTCCTTTCCCTTCTCTGCCCCAGCTTCCTAGAATTCTGTACCCTGGTTCCTCCTTCATGACTCTGGAACCCACTGTTTACCTTCTCTTTCCACTCCTCGGTGTCCCCCAGCTATCAGGGTGAGGAGCAGGAAGTGCAGCTGTACTACAAGGAGTTTTCTTCTACTCGGCACGGCTTCCTAGGGGCAGGTGTGGTGTCCCAGCCGCTGTCTCACGTGTGGGCAGCTGTGAGTGACCCCACCCTGTGGCCCCTCTACCACAAGCCCATCCAGACAGCAAGGCTGCATCAGCGGGTGACCAACAGCATCAGCCTGGGTAAGCCAAGGGAGGAAGGCTTCCTGGGCCTGGTCTCTGGCCAGGGGTCTTGGATAGAGGGCTGGATGCAGCCTTGTTATATGGCTAGGGACTCAGGTTACCTCCAGATTGTTCAACCTGGATCTTTTTGGGTGTGAAATCCCAGAATGAAGGGGGTTCTTTGGCCAGGAGGACTTAGGACTGTCCGTCTGCCCTCCAGTATACCTGGTGTGCGATACCACACTGTGTGCCATGAAGCAGCCGCGGGATTTCTGTTGTGTCTGTGTGGAAGCCAAAGAGGTGCCTACTGTGCTGGTGGTAAAGACATGGGGAGAACTTGGGCATCAGATCTCACTGGGGGTGGAGGTGGGGGTGCAGAGGGAGATTAGAGCTGGGGCCAGGGCAGGGGTGGCTCAAAGGCTGGCCCACTGTTGCCTTTCACCTTTCACATTTCTGACCACACTTAAGCACATCACTGTTTTGTCTTTGACAGTCAGGACTCACATCTATCTCTGTCCCCAGGGACAATTGTCTGTCATGGCAGCTCAGTCTGTATATGACACGTCCATGCCAAGACCCAGCAGAAATATGGTCGAGGGAGATCCTGCCCAGTGCCTGGATCCTGCAGCCTGTCACCATAGAAGGGAAGGAAATCACCAGAAGTCATCTTCTTGGCCCAGGTGATATGGCCCTTGCAGGCTGCCTCACAGTGCACTTGGGATCTTTATAGCTGTGCAATACCCTTCAGTGGCCAGGCCCTTTGGCCTGAGAGCCAGACTCAGCTTGTTGGACTCGCAGCAGGGGAACTAGAGAGAGGAATGAAAATAGTTTTATCAGCCCTTCTGACGCTGCCAGTGTCAGAGACATAGCAGCCAATATCCTGTGGCTTAGCCAGGGTCCCCTGCAAGGTAAAGCAGCAGCCTTGGTCGAGCAGAATCATTGTTTACCCATTTATGCTCCCCGTCCCTGACTTAAACTTTGTCACTGCCCAGGGCTGCAGACATCAGCCTGTGTGGACTGGAGCAAGCTTGGCACCTTCACTTCTTCCTTCTGTGCTTTCAGGTGGAGCTGGGCGCGCCAGGCTTCCCCCCTCACCTCCTGAGCTCCTTTGTCAAGCAGCAGCCGCTGGTCGTGGCCAAGCTGGCTTCCTTCCTTGTAGTTAGCATTGCAATGGAGATGCTGCTGAGATGCTGGCCCAGGATTTCCCAGACATTACAGCCACTCTCTACTGTCTGCATCCAGGTGACCCAGATGGCACTAGCCTAGGGTTGCCAGCAAAACCCGGTTAGTACTTGGGTCACCTCTAGCACCTCTGCAGAGCAGCACCCTGAAGTCTGGCCCTGGCTATCCCGGGATGAATGCTCAACTCGCCTTTTGGATTTCTCACCTTTATTCCCATCTCTGGGGCTCTGTGGCCCATGAGCTACTCAGGACTGGAAGTGAGGCACAGCCAGCAGAGCTGGGACTGTAGTGCTTTGGCAAGGCTCCTCCTCGCAAGCAAGCATTAGCCAGGACTTCTCTGGATCTGCTTCCAGCATTCAGCTTCACTGTGTGATGGAGTGGCAAAAAGGACCAAACCAGAAAAAGGTCTTAAAAAAAAATATAGCTATACGAACCAGAACCGATTCAGAATCTTTTTCTCCCTGTTGAATGTTTGCAAAATGCTTTACTTGCTTTTGTTCTTCTTGCCTTTCCTTGCCCAGAGAGGACACCTGGGTCTTGCACCAGAGTCAGGGGTGCTGAGTGCTGGTGTGGAGCAGTGAAGTGAGAGACCGCTGTGTAAGCAGGTGGGACAAATGTGGGGTCACAGGCAGGGGCCTGGCTTTTTGAGGACCTTTAGTGGGTTGAGGCAAGCCAGATGCTGGCTGCTCACAAAGCAACATGGATTTTCAGAGATTAAAAATTGACCTCTGGCTGGGTGGTGGTGGCTCACGCTATAATCCTAGCTTACTCAGGAGGCAGAGGTCAGGACTGTGGTTCAAAGCTAAACATAGTTCTCGAGATCCTATCTTGAAAAAAACCATCACAAAAAAAGGGCTGGCAGTGGCTCAGGGTAAGAACACCTGCCTAGTAAGCGTGAGGCCCTGCGTTTCAGACCACAGTGCTGCCAAAAACCCTCTGAAGAGATAAGTGATTCATTAATGGGAACCTCACCGGCCTCTGGCGCACTTGGAATGCCTATCCTAGCAGGGGGTGCAGAGGGCATTCAATTCTTGTACCTGAGCCTGGCTTACCTTACATGCTGAGATTCTGTGTGTTCATCTGGAAGCAGTAGGGTGAGAGAACTTCCCATCTGTAGCTCTGTTGCCCCGCTGCCCCAAATCTTTGTTGGAAGAAGGTATCACACGGGGACTGAGAATGTGTCAATGTGTGGTCACAAGGGCAAGTTTTCTGTAGAACAAGGCAAGGATTTTGCCTGAAAGTTTGCAGGATTTGTTTTCTTTTTCTCTTACCTCAGATTATTTGTATTACTGATTGAAAGGTTTTAAAACTTGCTTCTAAACTTATTTTTTCTGGTTAATTTTGGTAACATGATATATTTAACACCCTAGTTTATATACTCCCACCTTCTTCTCATATAAATCTCTAGCTAAGACTGTTGACTGAAAAGGTCAAGACACTTGCAAAAGTCCTGTGTGTACTTTTTTTTTTTCCTCCATTCTTTTTTTTTTTTTTCATTTTTCTTTTATTATTCATATGTGCATACAAGGCTTGGTTCATTTCTCCCCCCTGCCCCCACCCCCCTCCCTCTCCCCCCCTCAATACCCAGCAGAAACTATTTTGCCCTTATTTCTAATTTTGTTGTAGAGAGAGTATAAGCAATAATAGGAAGGAACAAGGGTTTTGCTGGTTGAGATAAGGATAGCTATACAGGGCATTGACTCACATTGATTTCCTGTGCGTGGGTGTTACCTTCTAGGTTAATTCTTTTTGATCTAACCTTTTCTCTAGTTCCTGGTCCCCTTTTCCTATTGGCCTCAGTTGCTTTAAGGTATCTGCTTTAGTTTCTCTGCGTTAAGGGCAACAAATGCTAGCTAATTTTTTAGGTGTCTTACCTATCCTCACCCCTCCCTTGTGTGCTCTCGCTTTTATCATGTGCTCATAGTCCAATCCCCTTGTTGTGTTTGCCCTTGATCTAATGTCCACATATGAGGGAGAACATACGATTTTTGGTCTTTTGAGCCAGGCTAACCTCACTCAGAATGATGTTCTCCAATTCCATCCATTTACCAGCGAATGATAACATTTCGTTCTTCTTCATGGCTGCATAAAATTCCATTGTGTATAGATACCACATTTTCTTAATCCATTCGTCAGTGCTGGGGCATCTTGGCTGTTTCCATAACTTGGCTATTGTGAATAGTGCCGCAATAAACATGGATGTGCAGATGCCTCTGGAGTAACAGTCTTTTGGGTATATCCCCAAGAGTGGTATTGCTGGATCAAATGGTAGATCGATGTCCAGCTTTTTAAGTAGCCTCCAAATTTTTTTCCAGAGTGGTTGTACTAGTCTACATTCCCACCAACAGTGTAAGAGGGTTCCTTTTTCCCCCATCCTCGCCAACACCTGTTGTTGTGGTGTTGCTGATGATGGCTATTCTAACAGGGGTGAGGTGGAATCTTAGCGTTGGTTTTAATTTGCATTTCCTTTATTGCTAGAGATGGTGAGCATTTTTTCATGTGTTTTCTGGCCATTTGAAATTTCTTCTTTTGAGAAGTTCTGTTTAGTTCACTTGCCCATTTCTTTATTGGTTCATTAGTTTTGGGGAGAATTTAGTTTTTTAAGTTCCCTGTATATTCTGGTTATCAGTCCTTTGTCTGATGTATAAGTTGGCAAATATTTCTCCCACTCTGTGGGTGTTCTTTCAGTTTAGAGACCATTTCTTTTGATGAACAGAAGTTTTAGTTTTATGAGGTCCCATTTATCTATGCTATCTCTTAGTTGCTGTGCTGCTGGGTTCATTGAGAAAGTTCTTACCTATACCTACTAACTCCAGAGTATTTCCTACTCTTTCTTGTATCAACTTAGAGTTTGGGTCTGATATTAAGATCCTTGATCCATTTTGAGTTAATCTTGGTATAGGGTGATATACATGGATCTAGTTTCAGTTTTTGCAGACTGCTAACCAGTTTTCCAGCAGTTTTTGTTGAAGAGGCTGCTATTTCTCCATCGTATATTTTTTAGCTCCTTTGTCAAAGATAAGTTGCTTATAGTTTGTGGCTTCATATCTGGATCCTCTATTCTGTTCCACTGGTCTTACATGTCTTTTTGTGCCAGTTACCATGCCTGTTTTTATTTTATTGCTTGTAATATAGTTTGAAGTCAGGTATTGTGATACCTCCTGCATTGTTTCTTTTGACTGAGTATTGCCTTGGCTATTCGTGGCCTCTTGTGTTTCCATATAAATTTCACAGTAGATTTTCAATCTCTTAATGAATGTCATTGGGAATTTGATGGAATTGCATTAAACATGTAGATTACTTTGGGAGTATCGACCATTTTTACTATGTTGATTCTACCAATCCATGAGCATGGGAGATCTCTCCACTTTCTATAGTCTCCTCAATCTCTTTCTTCAGAAGTGTATAGTTTTCCTTGTAGAGGTCTTTCACATCTTTGTTAGGTTTACACCTAGGTATTGATTTTTGTTTGAGGCTATTGTAAATGGAATTGTTTTCATACATTCTTTTTCGTTTGCTCATTGTTAGTGTATAGAAATCTTAATGATTTTCTATGTTGATTTTATATCCTGCTACCTTTTGCTATAGGCTATTGATGATGTCTACAAAGCTTCTGAGTAGAGTTTTTTGGTCTTTAATATTAGGATTCATGTCATCTGCAAATAGGGGATATTCTTTGACAAGTTTTCTGAGCAACACAGTTTCTAGAACACAAATCTGAGAAGATCCTGATCTTCCTGGGGGTGGAGTGGGTGAGGTGGATCAGGGACCAGATCAGGACTTCTAACCACGCTGCAAATCTTTTTTTTTTTTCTTTTTTTTATTTTTTTTTTATTTATTTTTCATTTTTCTTTTATTATTCATATGTGCATACAAGGCTTGGTTCATTTCTCCCCCCTGCCCCCACCCCCTCCCTTACCACCCACTCCACCCCTCCCGCTCCCCCCTCAATACCCAGCAGAAACTATTTTGCCCTTATCTCTAATTTTGTTGTAGAGAGAGTATAAGCAATAATAGGAAGGAACAAGGGGTTTTGCTGGTTGAGATAAGGATAGCTATACAGGGCATTGACTCACATTGATTTCCTGTGCGTGGGTGTTACCTTCTAGGTTAATTCTTTTTGATCTAACCTTTTCTCTAGTTCCTGTCCCCTTTTCCTATTGGCCTCAGTTGCTTTAAGGTATCTGCTTTAGTTTCTCTGCGTTAAGGGCAACAAATGCTAGCTAGTTTTTTAGGTGTCTTACCTATCCTCACCCCTCCCTTGTGTGCTCTCGCTTTTATCATGTGCTCATAGTCCAATCCCCTTGTTGTGTTTGCCCTTGATCTAATGTCCACATATGAGGGAGAACATACGATTTTTGGTCTTTTGGCCAGGCTAACCTCACTCAGAATGATGTTCTC